GTATCCAGAGCTGGCCAATTTCTACAATGAACTGCACTTTGTTGATAAAGCAGCAGCAGGTAAGGTTTGACATACCAAGAAAATATAAGAAAAAAAAGTTTTCACAACATATTGGTTGCGACTTTTCGTCACACCTTTGCTTCTGTAGTTTCCTTGGAGAATGTTCTGCTTGATGTGCGGGAGTTAGGAAAAGGCATGGATTTGATCAGAAGAGAGTGTAGTCTCCATGATCACTCTGTCCTCAAAGGATTTCTCCAGGCCAGTGACACACAGCTGGACAAGTTGCAGAGAGATGCAAAGACGGCAGAGGTATTTAAAGGGCCCATAATGTTAAAATTTCCTCATCACAAACAGGCCTGGAATTGTGTTTTGTTTCTTTCACCCATGTTTAACAAACAGATCTTGCATATTTAGGCTGAGCTTCTCTCAAACAGAAAATACTCTGTTCCGTCTTGTAATGTTGTATGGTAATACAGGAACTGCTCCACTGTGTTTTTAAACTCCATACACCTTTACAAGAATAATTTGTATAATCTCAGTCCTGGAATTGCCAATTTTGACTGAACAAAAGTTAAAAGGTAGCGGTTAACTTGAAAACTACTGCTTCAAGACATCATGTTGAACAGAGTATTTTGAGCTTTAGAGATGTAGACAGACCAATAATAAAGGATTACTGAAACATTTGTGAATGTTTGTGAAAACACAAAACACAACTCGAGGTATGTTTTTGAGGAGGTAACAACATTACAACATGGTTTAAAGCTCAGAGGAGTCAATTTTGGGTAATATAATACCTTTAAAGTGATCTAAGTATATTGACACTTAATGTGAAAAAAAAAAAATCACAAGTGAATATAATAAGACAGAGCAAAAACCTGCAAAAACAGCATCTGCACTTCTCTAATCTGTAACAATTTCTGAATTGACAGTATTTACAAACTGCCTTCCACCCTGGTCTTGTCTTCTGCTCTATTCTAGGAAGCCTTCAACAATGTGGTAAACTACTTTGGAGAGAGTGCCAAGACGACTCCACCCTCTGTGTTTTTCCCTGTGTTTGTACGGTTTATCAAAGCGTATAAGGTAAGGACTCACTGATCAACCTAATTTATAGTTTAAACTTTACACTTCAGTTGTTATGGTAGTCCTTGTTGTTTTAATTTGGATGTGTCATTTGAAGCACAGTAGGGCAAAGCAGGACGTGGTCATAGTCAGTGGCCAAATAACAGGAAGGGCCAGCTGTTTCTGACGGTGGAGCAGCTGTGGTGTTTAGACTGGTCTCTGCCCCAGTCCTGCCTCCACCCTGCCCCAACACACTGCACATTTCCTTAGATTGTTCGCACTCAGGATTTATGAGACTTGCTCAAGTCAGTGTCCATGGCATAGATTTCTTAGAATGATTTAATCTGCAAAAGGAATAATGACAATGAAAATGTGTCTAGAGATACCTTTATGTCTTCAATATATTTTTCATCTTATTTCTCCTGTCTTAATCAATGAAACATACCCATTTAACTTGGACCTATCGCTGACAGGCTGTCTTAACCTTTCTCGACAGGATGCAGTAGAGGAAAACGAACAGAGAAAAAAGCAGGAACAAGCCATGCGGGAAAAGTTACTTGCTCAGGAGGCTAAAGAGCAAGACCCTAAGGTACAACAAATCACATAAACACCAGTGGCTTGGATTATCTCAGAAGTGTTCTGAATGATTGTGGTGCCCTCTGCTGGTGCAGGTCCAGGCTCAGAAGAAGCGGCATCAGCAGCAGGAGCTGATCGCAGAGCTGCGCAGGCGTCAGGCAAAAGACCACCGGCCTGTTTATGAGGGGAAAGATGGCACTATAGAGGACATCATCACAGGTGGGACAAGCAGAACCCTTAACAGGCCTTTTGTGGCCAGCAAGAGCCCCTCACGGCGCAGATCCAAGATGACTGTAGTTATTCACTGCTCTGCTCCTCTGCAGTGCACCTTGTGCTATGTGGTCCAGACACCAGCACATCTGGAGCACAGCATTCATTAGTTATTCCATGACGATCCGTCTGCAACCACAGCTGCAATGTACAGCGAGTCAAGAACCAGATAGCCACTATACTGTATATACTGCGCAAATACAATGCAGACTTTTCTGCATAGGGACTTCTAGATGTACCTACTATTGTTTTTAAATATTGTAGTACAATATGCCTAGAATTTTGCATAAAGTAGAGCAATGATGGAATATGGAACTAGTTTGTTTGCCCCACTACCTACACTCCATCCATTCAGTCTAGTTTAGTATTTGATTAGATATCTAGTTTTTAGCAGTAATAAATGGTATAAGAGTAAAAAATAGAATCATTTGTTATGACCTTATTGTATAATCTGTAAAGATGGACCATAAATCCTAAATGCATTGTCGTAGATGTGACCTGTTCTCTCTCCTCCGCCCTCCTCCCCCAGTACTGAAGAGCGTGCCCTTCACAGCCCGCACTGCTAAACGTGGCTCACGGTTCTTCTGTGAAGCCAACCTCTGTGACGACGCCAACTGCTAGCCCTGTCCCCTATGCCAAGGTTGTCCAGGACCAGTATGCCTCCTGCCCCCTGTGCATGCCGCATGATCCCCTTAAAACATCAACCACATCTTATATCTTCTGTCAACTAACGTGGGCTGCCATTAGTTATTTGTGTCACTTCTATTTACTCCTATTTTTATTATAGGAGAGAGCCAAACATCTTTAAACAAAGTCAATCATAGCTTATGACTTTGGAAAGAATGTGCTTATATTAAAATATGAACATAAGTGAGGGTAATCAATCATTTGAAGCAATTCATTTCAATGAGCGAAGAGGTTTGGCTTTATTATGGTGACCACTGCCTTTGAGACTAACCTCTATGGTGTTGGTGTTTCCCACTAATAATTCACTTTTCTTTTTTCATCCACCAATCTTTGTTCCATTCCTCCAGCTCAAAAGAAGATAAATGACAGTATTTTCCACTCCTAAGAGAGGGTAAGAAAGGTAGCGGCTTGGCTGAACACCGGCCTCCTGCTTAGCCTTCCAGCTGTTGTCTGCTGCTACAGTTATGTCAGCTTCAGCTACTGCTTTAGAATGCAAAAGAAAAAAAAAATCTGCAACATACTTTACAATACAATAAACTAAAACAGCTTTTAAAATGTATATTTAATTTATGGTCTTTGTCATTATAAAGTTGTATTTAAGAATTTGTAGACAAGGTCATAATAGCCTTTTAAATCCATATTAATGCATTGTATTACAAAAATTGCCTAATGTTTTAATGCATTTGCTGTTCACCATCATCATCCCTGTACCATATATGTTGCATGTTGTCCAGTGTCTACTTGTTATCCATGTGGTGTATGTCCTAAATGTAATAACACAGCACTTTGGTTAACAGGCTGTAAGGTAATATTCAGACCAATTATGACATTAGAGCCTGTTTACCAAACTTCTGTGCTAGTACTAATTATGCCATTTTACTTCGTTGTGGACTGGCATTCCCCAAACCACTGATTGATGTTGTGTTATGGGAATGTTATAACATGTACAATCATCAAGTTTACTAGTCTACTTGCAACTAAAAAGATGCAGATAATACATTGCAGTTTTATTTTTCAGATGTTGTAATTTAACTTTTAATGCTGGTTTTCTAACATGTGTGTCCCCCTGTCTCCCTGCACACTCACAGATCTCCGAAGCCAGCCCTTCCTGCGAGCTGACGCACTGATCCGGAATGGTTGGAAGAGACCTTAAAATGCCTTAAAGATACTTATACCACCTGCCCTGCCTTATCCTGCCCATAACCTTCTTCCTCCCTGTGCTTTCTGGTGGTCCATATGCAACACAAGGCTACAGATCACAGGACACCACAAAGGCCTTGTTCTGCTGGGTAATTTATTTATTTATGGAGGCCCTTCTAAGCCACTTTAAGGAAAGAGGAATCGTTGCAGAGACACAATAGTCTTTCACGTCCCCCCTGAACTAACTATTTTAAAAACTGAACTAGCTGTGGGACCACACAGCAGAAAAAAGATTTTTGAGTTTACTAAAAGATGCAGTTCTTAGCAGGACACACCAAGGGAAGATGCCAACTCTGCTGCTGGGATGTTTGTTTTAAAATGTTAAAATGTTGACAGTGCTTTGAGACATTTTGACACATTCAATTCAATCAGTTACATTGTATTTTACAGATGTTTAAACATGCTAGCAAAGCCAAAATACAGTATATCAAATGTTTTGTGTCAAAAGTGCCTTTAGTGTAAACAGTGTTACGTCATACAAGTCAGCCATAATCTTGTGTCAATAGTTATATTTTTATTGCCTTATACATTTTTGTCTTAATGTACTTAAAATATGCAAAGATTGAAAACCCAAACGTAAGCTTTTCAAAGGCACACTATTTTAAATGTGTGATTTGCAGCTCAAAATGACATGGATCTGTACCATGTTCACCTCTTCAGTGCTTTTTCTTTTTTTACTTTGACAACACTTTCTGTCACGCATCACAGTGACATTTGGAGAGTGACAAATGAAGAAAACATGGACTGCTTGGTCCCGCTCAGATGTTGTGGAATTACACAGTAGGTCTGGTGGTGGATGAAGGATGTTTAGCTCGACTTTCTATAGAACTCTTGTTTTGTGGCAATATCCTATGTTGTGTGTCCAGAGACACAAAGGGACCTGTAAAACACTATTGGGTTTAGCATAATTGAGACACTATTGTTTCGATGAACATTGATATGAATGTACATTCCAATCATTTTATTTTAAACAGATTATATTGACCATCAAGATGACACTTTGTTTTAAAAATAAATATTGTAACTAAAAGGTTTATTTCTGTGTAATTTTAGATGGAACAACATTTAGACAAGCAATTGTCACACCTTAATGCTTTTATTTTGCACTTTTTGATAGTTTAGTTAATGTCAAGTTAGCAAGACTTTCAGGAGGTTTTAATACTGTGTTCTTGCCCAAGGACTTCTTAGAAAGACAGACAGAGCCACCATACATTTCTACTATAAAAATCCATTTAATTTCTTATATCAAAACAAAATGTAATCATTGCAAAACAGTTATGACCACAAACATCCATGTGGATTTTGCCATCAAATAAAACCTCAAACAAAAAGTGATCTTTTAGTTTCCATGTTGTGAAAATGAACAATGTTAAACTTTAAAAAATAAATGATCAATACTGTGAAGAGCAAAGAAAATCTGTTGGCTAAAATAGCTGTGTGCGCCATGCAGAGCATTGTCCGGTATGGCTGATAAAACCCAGGGTAAAAGCATGGTGCCACACAAAGCGACACTTTAGAAATGAAGTCCAGGCTGACAGACAGATGTTAGCATTAGCAGCAAGGCAAGGAATTACAAAGGAATACTATCAGGAAGCTGATCAGTGCTCTTCCTGGGAATGCTTAGCAATGAGCTTTAACCTAAATTACATGTACATGTAATTACATACAATTAAAAACAAAAGTTTAATCTCCCACACATAAAGGTACCATCAAACGGCCTTTCCTGAAATAGATACAATCAAAGATAACAACCAAAGCTAAATGCAACCATCCTCTGCTAGTTTATTTGTCACAGATTGCATTTCAGTGATAACTGGAAATTCACAGAAGCTCGTTTCACTCTCATCCCAGAGCTGCTCTGAGGGGAGTGTCCTGCTGTAGGCGAATCCAAGGCCACAGAACCATCCCAGACTTGAACCTGGAATGTGACTTTAATACAATCATATTCATCCAGTACACACACACTGCCACGGACGCACTCATCTTGTAATGACAATTATACAATGGCTAAAATAAACTGATAAAAGTACAGACTGCTATTGTTACTGATGGTTGTATTCCTGGGTATATTCTCAAGACACTTTGTTAATAGGTTCATATATATGCAAATATATATAACTTTAGTCTGTGCAAGAAGGTAAAAGACAATCACTTGGATGTAGTTCTTTGAGACAATCAAACAGACAGGTCTGATGCTGCTCCTCCTGCACATGTGCAGTGGCCTCCTCTCCTGCGCCCCCGTGTCAGACTTTCAGCAGCAACATACAAATACACATGTAAACGAGCCACACCAGCATCCAGGAAGCATTCATGTGAGCAGTTTTCCTCTTCAACAAAACAACTTGGCAATGTTATCAAGGATGGAACAAAAGTCTTTTCCCTATACAATTAATAAAAAAATAAAAAATTAAAATTGTTCCATTGCCATTGGTATCTCTAACTTTTACATTTGCACAGAGGTAGTGGCTATATGCATGACAGGGGGAGGAGAGCTGTGAGGAGAGGGGCGAGTAAAATTTTAAAAGAACTGGATAAATGTCTATAAAACTCCTTTTCGTCACCAGACGATTTCTGTTTTCTCAAAGAACAAAATATAATACTGCCAGTACTTAAAAAAGTAGTCCTTCATTTTATACATTTTGTACAGTGTTCTCGCTTTTTTTTTTGTTGCTTTTCTTTTTTCGTGGGTAAAGGCATAAGATGAGAGGGCTTCTTGGCTCAACAGTTCATCGGCTGACCAGAGCAGAGTTCTCTCCTGGCTGAGCTCTATGCCAGTGGGTCGCTCATGTCATCATCCCCTTGGGAGAGCAGCTCCTTCTTCTCATCTGTGCTGGCCAGAGAGTTACGGCTGTTGTGGGCCCCCATGTATAAAGTGGCGTACACTGGGTTTGTGAAGTTGGTTGGCTGTTAACAAGAAAGTGGATTTTGTACATAATTTTTTGTATGATTTTGGTATGACTTTCCATATAAAACTGCTATTGTATACATCTCAGTCCTTTACCTTGTCTGGGTCTAGAGCAAAGTCCGAATCTAGAAGCTCTCCTGCATCATCGTCTGGGTCTCCCTCATAGATTTTATATGCTGGGTTCCCAATCTCTACATTCATGGCTCCGTTTGTCATTCTGTGGTGCTGGAAACCCTTGGCACTGTAAACACATAAACACACATACAATTACCCACTAACATAATTGGTTTATTAGAGTGGCATTAGAAATATAGCAATTCAAATTATTTGGAGTAGGTACATCATATTACTATTGTTACATTACATTGGGCTTTTATGTAACAGAGGTCACACAATCAAGACAACACAAATTATGACTGGCTGTCAAATGAGCTTTTCTAAGAAGGTCATTTGATCAACTTCAATATATTTTTAACTTGTAATGCACAACTGCAAGCATACTGACAAATTTTCTAAATACTATGAAACTTATGTAAACAAAGGGAGATGTGGAAACGCAAAAAGGACATAATTCAATTGTTTGAGCACCACCAGCAAAAGTAGTTTATCAAGAGCCATCCCTGAGATGCTGGTAGGGAAACCCCAATTGGAGCCAAACAGGAAATGACAAGCAACATTCATTTTAAAGCGACTAACAAGGTAGACAAATGGACAGACATCAAGAGCCTGAAGAAAAAGAGGGAGGACTGGTGGGTTAAGAGGTGAATTATGTAACCCTATCAAGTTACCGCAAGGACTGAGAACGAGATTTGCCTGGCCATAGAGACCTGGGAGACAGGAAATATACAGTTATCCAAAGAAGATTTAAGGTAGAAAAAACTAGGCACAAAAGATGTGAAGAAGAGGAAAAATGGAGCTTAAAATGCTTCTTGTCAGATCATTACTCACCCTCGCATTCTTTTTTTGTACCACAAGATGGCACCAACCACCAACAGTGCCAATAAGAGTAGCAGAAGGACTGGGACAACAATTGAGGCAGTGTCTGCAAAAACAGACAATCGTTTAGGCAAAATATTTCTATTTTATAGAAGTCCCATTATATGTTCCCATTATATAACTCACTTCCACTACCAGATGATGAGTCTACTGGGGCAGCTGTGACTTCACATCTGTATCCATCCCAGCCAGCAGGACATCTGAACATAAGATATCCGAATTTTAAAAAAAATGCTATTCAGAAAAGACTATGAGTTGTTTGATTAATGCAGAGGTTTTCTTACTTGCACTGAGGCAGAAGTGAACGTGTGTCAACTGAACATTGACCATTGGAACAGTAGTCCAAACAGGAGTAGCAGCTGGGTTGATTTCGACCATTCGGACAGCTAGACAATTGATATTTTTACATTAGTTTAAAACTTTGAAATTTGAAATTTAATACATTTTCAATAAATCTTACAGGCAGGAAACTTCTCCATTTGGCGACGTCAGGCATTCGCCCGTTCCACAGAAGATACACTTGTTCAGTTCGCACCGGTGTCCAATGAACTGACTGGAGCAGCGACACAGCATTGTACCATTTGATGTTTGGAGACAGGTTCCACTGTTCTCACAGAAACCCTCACATTTACCTGGGAAAGAATGGATATATATATATATATATATATATATATATATATATATATATATATATATATATATATATATATATATACACACACACACACACACACATACATACATACATACACATACACACACACACACACACACACACACACACACACACACACACACCCCTATTGTATAGGTATGGTCAGATTTTAAACAGCTTACTGTATTGGCACATATCTCCCAGGTACTCAGGCGGGCAGCTGCAGGTTGGCTGGTTGCCCATATTGACTGTGCAGTTGCCCCTGTTGAGGCAGTAATCCTGACAAGTGTGACGGCTACAAGTGGGTCCTGTGAAACCCTTTTGGCATCTGCAGGTTGGAGCACCTGCAAACACATATATACACACACACACACACACACATAAATAGGGACATGTGACCCTAATGTTGACCAATTTGATACCAACAGTAAAGAGGGGAATTGTCATTTGTTTAGAGAAATGCATCAACAGAAGTCACTCAGATTATATACTGACACACATGTGAGTCTCAAATGGTATAAATCTCTCTTTTCACAATTTTATTTATGCCAGTAAGCCAAACCCGGGAGTATCCCATTCTGAAACTATAAAAATCTTGTCACCCTAGCTACAAATTGAGCCTTTTTTACTATAGCATATACTTAGTTTTTTTTATTCTTGAAAAACTTTGTAAATGCATTACTTTTAGAGCTACTTTGACCCAGTTGCCTGACTATAATTATTGTTAAACCCCACAATAAAGTGTCTTGAAGAGATAAACTCACCTGTATGAGAGGCAGTGCACGTGCCCCCGTTCTTACAGTAGTCCCTGCACTGGTTGATCTCACATCGTTCACCAGTGTAGCTGGGCTGGCAGCGACATTTTGCCACCTGTCGGGCATTCAGGAAGCAGCTACCTCCATTCAAACACTGAATGTCACATGTGCCAGTAGGAGGAGCTGCAAGAATCATATGTGATACTCTAGTCACTACATACCTCATATTTAAAGGTCCAATATTATACTAAATTGACTCGTGAGCTTTAAGACATGTTACAATGTTGTTACCTCCTCAAAAACATACCTGGAGTTGTGTTTTGTTTCATTCACACATGTTTGAGTTACATTATTACGCGGTCTACATCTCCAAAGTTCAAATGCTCTGTTCCACCTTGTGATATCATGAAGCTGTAGTATTCAGCTTCCTTTGACCTTCAGTTCAGTAGAGACTGGATATTCCTGGCCTGAAATCATCCAGATGATTCTACTGAAGGTGTATGGAGATTAAAAACATAGTGGAGCACTTCCTATATTACTTATATTATTAAGACATCACATGGTGGAACAGAATGTTTTCTGTTTGAGAGAAGAACTCAGCCTAAATATGCATGTTGTGTTAAGCATGTGTGAATGAAACAAAACACAAATCCAGGCATGTTTTTAATGAGGAAACAATATTAAAACATAGATCAGAAAATGGTGTAATGGGCTCTTTAAACTCCAGTGTCAACAAGGACATATATCTGTTTAGTCAGTACAATTAATACTGTACTACTTACAGAATGGAGACTGGGTGGGACTGGGCCTCTCCACACAGGTGCCGTTGTTGGCCACATAGTTATTAGGGCAAGTGCACACCGGTCCACTTGGGCTCAGCAGACACAGCCACTCGCATTTCTTACGGTCACATGGGTTGGTCACTGTGACAGTAAAACAAAACAAAAATTGCATAAGAAAAAGCTCAAAGCCTTTGTAAGTATATGAATAGGTGGGCTCTCACTTTCTGGCTGCTTGTAGCGATGATACAGAACTATGTCAGTAGCGTGGTTTATGCCAGTGGTGAGATTCTCCATTGGACCTTTTCCAAATTTGTTGACCCGGAACACAAAGTTATTGACATAGGTCACCCCATAAATATAGTCCTCAAAAATGTCAATGCTGAATGGATGAAGGAGGTCTAAAAACAAAACGACATTGTCAATTTTAAATATTTTGAAAAGTAAAAAAAATTAAAAAGAAAGAAATAGAACAATTCTTTACTGTTTTTAATTCCAGATACAGCTATAACAGGATCTAAGCCATCCAGGCGAACACTGCCAATGATGGACAGTTTCGCATCAGCCCAGTACAAGCGCTCATTGAAGTAATCCACAGCCAAACCTATGACAGAGTGGTTAGATGTATACAAATAGAAAATTATACTAGTAATACTGCATTCTTAAACACAAAAAGTACCTGTAGGCCATTGAATGTTCTCATGAACCAAGGTCTGTCTGAGAGTCCCATCCATGGCTGCAGTTTCAATTTTAGGATGGTTACCCCAGTCTGCCCAATACATGGTACTGAAAGGGAATTGTATTAAATTAAAAATCTACATTTTAAATAAAACCTAAAACCTTTTATCATTTCATGTGTTGAGTCTTATACCCTCGCTGTGGATTCACTACAATGGCATAAGGCTCATCGATCATGCCAGAGATAAGAGTTTTGCAGTTCTGGCCCGACATCTGTGCCACTTCAATCACATCTCGTCCAGAATCTGTCCAGTAGATGTTACCAGCCACCCAGTCCACAGCGATACCACGAGGCATCTTTAACTCTTTTATCTGTTGAAATAAAAATTATATTTTAGTCTTAATGAAAAAGAAAATACCGTGAAATACCGTGAAACCTAAATGATAGATATGCAAAGCAAACAATTAAGTAGTGTTGCCAAAAGTACAAAAAAAAACAGTATCAAAACTAGACACTGAAGTAAAAAAAAAATCCATAAACAATAAACAGGACAAATGCATCTTTTTATGTTAGACCAATAACAAGCTTTATCATGACTTGTATAAGACACATATGGTAACATAAAGGAAGTACTACTACTTTGTGTTGAAAATTATAGTCTCTTGTCTAAAAAAATATTTCTTAAAATCAAATTTGACTTTAAAAGTAACTAAAATTGAGCTAAAAGAAAGAAGACATTTGTTTGTACCTGTAAGTTGTGATCCTGCCTTCGCTTTGTCGTCGGTGCCTCTGGTTGTTGGAAGAAGAGGTGACTGGTCCTGGAAGTTCATAGGAGGAGATGCGTCCTGTGTGCCAATTGGTCCAGAAGATCCGGTTGGTTTTGATGTGGAGGTCCATGGCATCAATGCGAACACTGGCATCCCCTTGGAAGGTCTGCTCGTAGCGCCAGTTGGGCATGCCGGGGTCTAGGCTACGGATTTCATTATCGTCAGCGATGTAGAGGATCTGACGACTGCTGTTTCGGTCTAAAAACAAAATTACACAAAGTTCAAGCCTTCAGTTCAGCCCCATAAGTGAATAGCTGAGATGCGAATTTTTCATAAAAAGTGAAAACAGTTCTTACTGTCAGCTTTGCATGTGTCGTTGATTCTGGAAAAGTACTTCTGGCAGCTGCATTTATAAGATCCTTTGGTGTTATTGCACATGTGTGAGCACACGCCAAACTGTAGACACTCATTTTTATCTAAATGTTAAAACAATTGGTGCAATTTACAAACTGTGACATTTTATTGTTGTATTTAATATGAGTCTGGTGCCTGATTTTGTACCTCCACATGTGCGATGTCCCGTCTTCTGGAAACCAGGTTTACAGGAGCAGAAGGAGTCTGTCCCATTGGTTATACAGTGAGCTTCATCTCCATCACCACACTGAGTCCTATTACTCCTGCAGTCATTTAACTTTGTGTCTATTCACAAATTCAAAAACTGTTTAGGATCAATGTTGAGATTTATTATTTACTATGACAATGTTGTATGTTCCCAGTCACCTGTCTTGCAGTTGATCTCATCTGAGCCATAGTCTTCACAGTCATTGAAAAAGTTACAGCGTAGATTGGAGCTGATGCACCTGCCATTAGCACATAGGAACTCGTCCTTCTCACATAATGCTGGAGTGGTCACTGTGGGCAGACATTTCAAAGTCCTATTTTATAATGATAATGTATAATACAGTATTATGAGAGATTTCATTTGAAAAAAAAAACAAAAAACCTACGGCAATTCATTTCATCCGTGTTGTCTCCACAGTTATTGACACCATCACATCTCTTTGAGACCTGCAGGCAGACACGATCGTTCTGGCAGCGGAAGGGCCTGGTTGGAGGGCACTGGAACGTCCCTAAAACATATTGGGTAAGTATTTTGCGGGTCAAATTATGTTTTAAAAATCTAAACAAAATAGCAGTAAATACTTACTGCACTGTTCAGGGTTTTCATCAGAATTGTCTCCACAGTCATCCTCTCCATCACACATCCAAGCGAGTGGTTTACATAATGTGTTGTTGCATTGGAACTCATCAGAAGGACAGTGACGGCTCGCTATCATGAACAAAAGAAAGATGAGTAAAGAATTAACTCACTTTAACATTCAAAGAGGCAAATAGAAACCTCACCAGTGCTGCCACAGTTCTCCTCATCGCTGCCATCCATACAGTCAGGGTCGGCATCACACCTCCAGCGGATCGGGATACAGTGGCCATTCTTACACTGGAACTGATCCTGGTCACACTTCAGATCACAGCCATGCTAAGGAAAATATTAAAGAAGATGATGATGAGTAAATGTTTCTTTATTCCTACTATACTTTCAGGTTACTGATGTTTATCCTAGCTACTTATGACATTGATTGACAACCATAATAGATAACTATACCACACTAGGCAAAGTTTACACAATCCAATTAACATACTACATACTACATACTAAAATTACTATTTAGTTTGTCTTACCTCATCAGATCCATCAGCACAATCATGGTCTCCATCGCACTTCCATCGTCCGGCGATGCAGCGCCCATTGGTGCAGGCAAACTCACTTTCTGAACACTGTCGAGGCACTGCAAAAATACCATTTATATTAGACATCATTGTGATATTTTTGAATCTACAAAACAACTACACTAACTTAACCCAAAAGCATGACAAAAAGTCTGGAGCACACACTAAGATAAAGAAAACTGCTTATATTACATTTGTATTACTACTTACAACATGAACAAAAGCAGACACACAACAATGAAGCCACATGGGAATCACACACAACATGGAAGGGGCTGACAGATGTAGGTGGAGACTTACCTCTGTGTCATGCCAACAGTGCAGTATGAAATGAAACAAATGATAAATGAGATGAAGTTGTAAATGGAAATGTACAGGACAGAGGAGCAAGTTAGTGAAGAGCAAATTAGCACTAAATCCCTGATAACACAATACACTACCATTGTACCTGTACACATGTTATATACATTTTTTCTTCTTTATATTAGGGCTACAAGATCTATCTCAGTCACATCTAAATTGCAATTTGAATGGTCACAAAACAATTATTTAAGTAACTACATTTCCTTATAATATTACAATATTTCTTGTCTTGTTAAAATATGTTAACCCTGAACCATGAGCTCTACATGCTTGTAATCCTTTTATTAGTTCATATAGCAGTTTATATTTCTACAAACAGAATCCTACTATTAAAACATAAATCACAAATCTAATCACAATGCTTATCAGAAAAATGACAATTTGTTATTTTTCCTTAATAATTCAGCCCCGTGTGTGCATGTATATATACACATTCAGTTATTTAATAGTGAAGGAGAGGAGATAAAACTCACCGCACTTGTCTTCATCTGAGTTGTCACCACAGTCATTGTCATAATCACACTGCCATCGGCCTGGGACACAGCGATTGTTTTTACATCTGAACTGGTATGGCTCACACGTCCGCTCAGCTGCAAATTGGAGAGAGATTGTCATCAAAAGACAAAAGAGTAACAAGCTTATTCATCTTAAATGCACAATACCAAGGTATACAATATACTATATGCCATTTAAATAAGTAGTATTTTGTATTTAGATTTATTTATGCATTCAAAATGTTGTGTTACACTGTTGCAGTTTACAGTTAAAGTATAAAATCATGATCACACAACTAACAGTTTATTATTAAATATCTAAAAAAACATTAGTTTTAGTTACCACACTCTTCTTTAGGCTCATCTGAAGCATCACCACAATCATCTTCTCCGTCACATTTCCAGCGAGCAGGAATGCATCTTCCGGAGTCTTTGCATCTGAATTCATCCACGCCACAAGTCATTTGAGCTACAGTAAAAAGGTAAATATGAATCAATACATGAATCAATACTCAGTAACAAGGCTTAATATGAGAATAAGGCTCACTGCAATTGGCAGGCTCATCTGATCCATCCACACAGTCATTGTCACGGTCGCACACCCACACACGAGGGATGCAACGTTTGGTGATCGCACACTGAAACTGAGTGGGGGCACAAGTGACCTCAGCTACCAAAAAAAACCCCAAAAAACTTTATTACATTGTAAATTACAGGAAAAAGTCTGTTCAGTGAGTTTAGTGCACTTACGACAGTCTTTTTCATCCTCTCCTTCACCACAGTTGTCCTGACCGTTGCAGCGGAAAATACCTGGGATACAGCGACTTGGGTGGGAACATTTGAACTGGCTAGGTAAGCAGACATGAATATCTGTGTTGGAAATACAAATTAAGTAAGTACCACAGTTTTAAAGTTATAATAAATTTTAGTATAGTATAGTAAAGTAAGGTTTAAAGTTATAAGTGAAACACAACAAAAGTCTGTATACACTTACCACAGTTGGCTTCATCAGAGTTATCTTGGCAGTCGTTATCTCCATCACAGATATAGGCAGGGTTAGTACAAATGCCAGTGCCACACTGGAATTGTCCCGGTCTGCACTTGAACTCAGCTATTGAAGGAAAGACAACAGTAAATTTATAATATTGCAATTTATCATTTTGAGTTATCTATTTATTGGTATCATCTTATTCTTACGGCAATCAGCTGGTTCATCTGATCTGTCGCCACAATCATCTTCAGTATCACACTTCCACCAGAAAGGAATACATTTGTCGTTTTTACACACAAACTAATAAACAAAAAAGGAAATTACATTCAGAAATACAATTATTAAACACACAAATAATCATGATAATTTCCTTGTCCTTACCTGACTGGCAGTGCAGTTGGACATGCATGTGCGTTGATCATTAGCCAGGTAGAAGTTGGTGGGGCAGGCACATTTGTAGCCCCCTCCAGGTGAAAGGAGACAGAGGTTACTGCAGCCGCCATTGTCTATCTGGCAAGGATGATTGAGCACTGCAAACAAAGTGAAATATACTGTTACTTTGACTGTACTTTTTGTAGAATAATGTGTAGTATACTGTGAAACCTACCCTCGGGCTGGCGATAAGGATGGTAAATATGAATATCCATTGGGCGATGTAAGGTGCTGATAAGAGTGGACTTGTTGGTGCCCAGAGTCTTGTGCGCTCTGTTGATGGACTTTGTCTCCCAGTCAGTCCAATAAATGTACTCCTCAAATAGCGTCATGGCAAAGATGTGAGGGATGTCATTGCTTAGTACTGCAGAGGAAAGAAATAACATATGCAAAGTAAGGATGTTAACATATAGTAAAAATACATTGTGTGTACATTACTGATAAGAATTAACCGATTGACATTTGATTCCATTTAAGAGCGAGACTCTACAGAGGTTATGCAATGTATTACTTTTATATAAGACCGACTTTGCCTCATTAAATCTAATTTTATCCCCATGCATTTCCATCGTGGGTCTCCGAGATAGAACTTTCTCAATTTGATCCTTAGTGTAATCACTCCAAATAATAAAGACATGTTTCCACTGGTAATAAAATTGTCATATTTACAGCCATGGTGAAGAATCAGATGGAAGTGCACTTTGCTTCTTGTTATCTTAAGACAAACAAAGCATGCTCAGTTGTACAAATACAATGGAGTCTACACTGTGTTTGCACTGTGTTTCAAAAGATGGGTAATTAATTCCATGGTGATGCATTTTTAAAAATATGTATATGTATGTAGTGTGATATACATTCAATATTAAAGGACAAACTTAGACACATATATCTTTAATGAAGTATGTTATCTATCACATGAACTTAACATGCTCTTCTGTTGTTTACAAGTGTTTGTTTTGAAGCTGTTTGTATCTATCTATATAAGTCCAACTTACATTCCAGTGTTAGATTAATGGCTCTCACAAGACCTCCTAACCAACTGAGCAGAACTGAGAAACATGTACAATAATGTCTGAGTGAGCCAAACAATCTCCTCTTTCTTTGGCTTGAGCTGGACAACTTGATCTCACTGCATAACAATCTGATCTGCCTACTCGTCTATGGTCATTCCAAAGCTGGTACGTAAAACACCCCAATATTCCTTTAATGGTCTCTTCTGCCTCTTACCAGTGTGTCTGCTGGTCCCATCCAAACTGGCAAACTCTATGTAGTCCTCTCTGGCATCAGCCCAGTAGATGCGATCATTTATAAAATCTAGTGTTAATCCATTTGGCCATGTGATTTTGTCTTGTACAATAATGCTGCGGTTTGTGCCATCCATTCCAATCCTTCCAATGTGAGGATTGTCACCCCAGTCAGACCAGTACAGATATCTAAAGTACAATTAAAGCATGATTAGATGAATATGTTGAAAATTCTGTGATATTTTAAATAATATCACTATGTAGACACTGATACATATTTAATAATATCTAGTAAATGGCCTTACCCATAGCGCACATCCACTGCCACAGCACGCGGTTCCCTTAGACCACTGTTAACCAACACGGTTCTGTATGCGCCGTTGAGTTTTGACACTTCAATTGTGTCCCGACCCTTGTCACACCAGTAAAGATTTCCACCAACCCAGTCCACTGCCAAACCATCGGGGTTACTAAGGGATGTTCGGTGCAAAACCTAAAAACCCCGTACAACAACAGATAAATAGGTAAGATATAAGAGTGTAGATTAGAAGAAAAGGAGATTTTTATCACTGACCTCCATGTTGCTGCCATTCATTCGCATACGTCGGATCATGCTTCCCTGTGTTGTTACATCCGTCCAATAGATCATTTGTTCAGCATAATGAAAGTCAAGTGCTACAGCATTGTTCAGTCCCTAAAAATGCAAAAATGTAAATAATAAATATCATCCACATATCTATAAAAGATTAGACCATCTACAAAATACTGACCTGCTTGATAAGAGTATAGTTTGAACCATCAAGATTGAGCTTCCTCAGGTAGTAGCGATTAGCAAAGATCAGATATGGCTCCACTTCTATAGACAAATACCAGACAGACACAACATATGCATGAGATTTAGGTTCAGCCAGTGCTTAGGTGAGACTGCCAAGTGCAAATCTATAACAGATAAGGAAGTCATACCAGAAGTGGACTTGCAGATGGTGGGGTCGTTGGGGCTGACTTCAAAGCCATCCACGCAGAGACAGTGGAAGCTGCCGTGAGTGTTGATACAGCGCTGGGAACACGGGTATGTGGTCGTACACTCGTCTATGTCCACACATGTTTTTCCATCGCGCTTCAGCTGGAAACCAGGATGGCAGCGGCACTATAGAAAAGATGATGAATAATAACTACAAAATCATGTGGTTTCAATAAGATATTCATGTTTAAATAAAATAGAAACAAAGTGAACAATTGAGTATGCAATTGAAAATACAAATACCAATACAAAAATACAGTAATTTAAAACAAAACAGGTAACCAAAAAAGCCAACTAACTAGGTTAATCAAATTTCACTTGCTGAGTCTGGACAAATGTTGTGATGTCCGCCAAATTAATATGTAAACATCTTTACGCATCCAGAGAGATTATTTGAATAGTACTTGTTGGAAATATTAATCTTGACCACAATTCCCAACACTGCAGGCAAGAGAAAGTTCACAGAAAGTTCAAGCTGTTCTGCAAATGATCTCCCATTTCAACAGTCAAAACATGCTTTATCTTATGAAATGGCATATCTGAAATCAAGCTTTAAAAACATAATCTTGAGTATTTATACAGAAACTAGAGATTGCTTGCATTGCTTTTGTAATTCAGAACACTTTCTCCTGATTTTAAAGTTTGGCAAAGGATAAAATAAGTCAACATGTAAAGTACCTTGTAGCCAATCTTGAGGTCATCACAGAGCTGGGAGCAGCCGCTGAGTTTGCTGTTGAGGCACTCATTAATGAAACAGTTGAGTTCATCAGAGCCGTCTCCACAGTCGTCATTGCGGTCACACAGTAAAGTCTCATTTAGACATTTTCCATTACGACACATAAAGGCTGAATCATTACATGTACGCTCTGAAAAACAAATGCCACATCATATTATAAAATTTGAAGATTTTCAAGCAAAATATTGAAAAGGGCATTAAATCAATATTTGGTGTTCTTACCAGAGTCAGTGCAGCGAGGATTTTTGGGTGCTTCATCAGAGCGATCCTGACAGTCAAACTCTCCATCACACTCCCAGCTCTTTTGGTTGAGGCAGCGGCCATTGGCACATCGAAACTCGTTTGGCCCACACGGAGGGTATTCTATTGCAGAAACAAGTAACTTTAAAACCCAGAGTGTATTCTAAAGAACATCACATTTCACGTGTAAGAGCACATGTTTTTGAAAGAAATTGAAAACCATTGCTGAACTTGACTTTTACCCTTTTGCCTTCCTGTCTATAATAAGGTTATTTTATTATCTTTCCATGCTGTCTATGCACATACCACATTCAGGAGATTCATCTGAGCCATCTGAGCAGTCAATGTCATGATCACAGACAAAGTGCTTTGGGATACAATGTCTGTTTTGGCACATGAACTCATTCTCATCACAGGTGCTGTTGGTATACACTGGGAATGAAAGACGGACGATACTTAGGTAAACTACAATGCAATGTAGCGAGGCGATTTAGTTTTTGGATTGCTTTAATCTTCCCACTCACAGCAGCCAGCCTTTACGCTCTCATCGGCTCCATCGGGACAGTCCTTATCACCATCACATTTCCATCTCTGAGGCACGCACATGTGGGAGCCGGGACACTGGAAAGCCTCAGGACTGCATGTCTTGGACTCTAGGATTAATAAAAAAAATGACAACAGTAATTTACATGATTCAAAATGTTATGAAAGCAACTGCTGAAAAATAAGTACCTTTGGGCATTGCTAGATTGAAAATATTATGTCACTTACTGCACTTCTGGTCTTCGTCTGATCCGTCCCAGCAGTCGTCAGAGCCGTCACACACCCAGTGGCTAGAAATGCAGCGATGATTTGCACATTCAAACTGTGTGGATGAGCAGAACTTGTCTGAAAGAAAATACACAACCAGCATAACAATTAGCTAAAGCAACATTTACTGACATTTCAGACAGCAATCAGTATTTACGTAAAGCTCTTAAAATGAAAGTTGATCATAATCTTTTCTTTAGCATTTAGTCTCCCAGTTATTTTTTGTTAACTGACTCTGCCCATTCCAAAATAGTAAGCTTCACGTCACTTGGCTGCTTGGAGCAATAATTTGCTTCTCTGGAAATCTGCAAAAGTTCCTGTAATATCCTAGTGGCGTCATAATGTAAAAATAGAATTTCTTAAGTTGAACAAAAATTTGGCTCTATTTCCACATTTGATTTTATAGTGTTTCTGTAGTGGACATTTGATAACTTTTTGATTTGACATTCATTGTTTTGATGAACAGTTTGAAAAATATATAGTGAGTCCTCAATAAACACACATATAAAAAGTATCTAGTTTAATGATACAATCAATAAGAAAGTAATGATTTAGAAATATAGGCGCAAGTTTTAAATTCATTATTATATATTATAAGTCTTTGGAGGCCTCAATTTGCATCACACAAAATTATATATTACAATCTTGCTTTGCTGAACACTGACCACAATGCGTCTCGTCAGCTCCATTCTCACAGTCGTTTTCCTTATCACATGTCCAGCTCATAGGAATGCAGCGTCCACTGGGACATGCAAAGAAGTTGACTGGACATTTAACATTCCTCTTATCTGCAGGACAATAATAGCACAAAAAACATATGCTGTGTCAGTAGGGCACATCGGAAGAACCATACAAAAGCATCAACAACAACCACCTTGACAGTTTCTTTCATCAGAGAAGTCTCCACAGTCATTGTTGCCGTCACACTCCCAGGAGGGCAGGTAACAAAGGGTTGTTTTCTCACAGTTCTTGAAAGAAGCTCCTTTCACGCCCAGTCGGAAGAAACGGGAGCAGTCAGTGGGCTCTGTGACAAAAGCATTCACACATATTTATCAAGTCACTGCTCCTGGGCTTTGTGAAGTGATGGGTCTGGTCTTGATGTTGGTAGCTGTCATTTTTAGTCGCCAAAAGGAAAAGTAAGAGATAGTTTAAGGTCACTCACGGCAGTTCATCTCGTCACTTGCATCCTCACAGTTCACCACTTGGTCACAGCGGCTGAAGTTAGAAATACAGCTTCCATCTTTGCACTGGAACTCTCCTACTTTACACAGTGTCACTACAAAACACAAATTTATATTGATTATTGTAATGCTCTCCTTTCTGGCCTTCCAAGGAAAGCTATTGCACCACTCAAGTTTAAAAACTCAGCAGCATAAATAAATTACACATAATTGAACCTTTCCTGATTAGGCTGAGAACTGTGTATATCACAACTAATATGAAACAACGTGATAATATTAACAAAACTATTATTATTCTATTCTATTCTATTCTATCATTGTGGCATCCAAATTCATATCAAGTCTTATCTTTAGATTTGACATAGGAGTTTTCACTCATTTCCAAACATACAAAGTTACTAAAGTTACTTACTATTACATGGAAGTTCATCAGAATGATCTCCACAGTCATCCGTGCCATCACACCAGAATTGATGTCCAATGCAACGCCCGTTCATGCACTTTCTGTAGCCTTTCTTGCAAATTCTGTGAGCTGAATAGAAAAAAAGCAGTTAATAGTTAATAGTAATAGCAGTATGATAACAGTACAGTTGTAGTCTTGTTTAAATCATTTTACATAATAAACTTACCGCAATACGACTGCTTCTCGTCAGACTTGTCCTTGCAGTGTACCATGCCATCACAGGTCAGGCTGTAGTTGATGCAGTCCCCATTGCCACACTCAAAGTCATCCACACTTCCACAGGACATATTCACAGCTGGTGAGGTATTGACATTTGAGTTTAGTGAAATTTCAACTTTGAATGTAAAATTTCTGTCTCCCACTTCTTACAAGAGCAAGTATTGTCTTCTAGAAGTTGACGGTCTCCGCGGCAGCTGCAGTTGACCCGTCCGTCTGAGGTCGGCAGACACAAGTCCTGACATCCGCCATTGTTGTTATGGCAAGGGGAATACTCACCTTAAAAAGAGTTTGTTTATTAATATGTACAGGCAATTTATGATTGATGATGAATTATGCATACAGCTGTTGGTGTCATTGGCCACAGCGATGATGCCCATTGGTTGCTGTGGGATGTCTGCTCTGAGCACCTTCATATCTCCTCCTGTGTACTTATCCGCTCTTAGGACAGCCCTCCTCACCCAGTCCGTCCAGAAAATGTAGTCCCCATATACAGCCAGGCCAAACGGGTGAACGGGTTCATTCTTCAAAAGGACCTGTGAATAGAATTAAATTAGTTGAATTAAACTATAAAATATTTATTAATCTTATTTATTATTTTAAAAAATGTACTTATTAACAAAAAATCTGGATATATTCAATACTGAGTAAACATCTTAATAATTACATTCAAATAAATTATAATTTCATAAATCAGTATAATCCCCCATTCATCCAGGAGCGGTCCATGGACAGTTTTACAGGTTTTAAAAACCATGTCCACCTCTGAAACCTTTTCAACCGAGAATTGTATACTTTAACTAAGGGAAAGTATTTGATAAATGTGTTTAAACACTTTCAATGTGAAATATAAAGATATTCATAAATAATGAATATATCTTTTAAAATAGTATTAAAATTATAGGTAAAATAAACAAGTACATTTGTATGAAATGGCTTTATTCAACAAAGAATAGGAAATGAAATATAAAATAAATAAAAGTCTTACATAACGGTTGCTTCCATCATATTCACAGCGCTCGATCTTGTCCAATGTGGCATCGGAAAAGTAGAGTTTTTCAGCCCGATGATCTATAGCCAGACCGTTTGGAGTTTTGATGTCACTACCAATGATCACTAGAACATTTGCCCCATTCAGAGATGCCCTCATTATACTGGGAGCCTGCTCATTCCAGTTGGTCCAGAACATGAGACTATAGCAAAGAAATCACACATCAGTTCTAAGATGTTAAGCAAAAGGCCATGGTTAATTGAAAAATTAATACATTTAAAAAGTTTCTCAGTAACACATTATAGTAACTACACTTTTAATACGCTTAATAAAGCATGAACAAAGTCTTAATTCATAGTGAAAAAATTGTTTATTTTGATTCAGGCTCTTCATAATCTAGTTGTTCCTTATGAACTAAGTTTTGTTCATACTTGATTAGGGCTAGTTTTGTAGTGTGTTGTGGAGTGGTACCAGATTAATTCATGTATTTGTTTACTTACTCCTGACACTCGTCAAGTACAAATGCTCTGGGGTGGTCCTCTCCAGACATAGTGACCACAGTATCACGGTTGTAGGCCACATTTCGGCTCTGGTCGACTGTGTGCCGAGTGATTGTTGATGTTGTATAACTGGTCCAATAGAGTGTATCCCAGCCGCGGTGATAGGCAAGACCCTCAACCGATCCAACATCTGTGAAGCAAAAGCAGAGGCATTGTAATTACTTGTGTTGTTAATGTGGAGTGAAAATCACCTTTTACTTTCACTAAAAGAAATTCACAAGGAAGGATAAATATTGTACTGACTAGTGATAACAAAAATGTAACTATTCACTAATCACCATCAAGGTTAAACAGAGAGATGGTCATAGATTAGGTAGTACTCAAAAAAGACTGTGGAAACAGTTGATATAAAAATAAACTAAAGCACCAAACCACATATAACCATGTGTTTGCTGTTCCCCGGAAAGGGTAATGATCTGTGTCATCCTGTCGCTTTATAGCTGGCTTAACAACACATACACATACTGGTCTTGGGACATGTCCATTTAGGGCAGAATTTTGTAAAGAACGGAAATCTCCTACAGAGTTTAAAAATCTGACTGCTGCTAGCTATGAAAAAGTATATAGATAAAAAAATCAACAAAGAAAGAAAATGTATTGGTTAACAAGTGCCCCCAAAATAAAAGACAAATAGGGAAATTGGGTAACAGACAAAGCAAACTACAAAAAGGAATTTAATAGTAATTAAACTGCAGGAAATTCATTATGGAAATTATGACTGAACTTGAAGCATGGGGTAGATGGTGATAGACGGTGTGGCCCCTCCCTTCAGAGAGCTCTACTGCCCCTTGTCACTGAGTAAACACTGTTTTAAAGCTTTCTGCCATTTGATAAACTGCCTCAATGGCTTCAGAAGCAGCAAACACCTGGAGTTTCAACTAGAATCTGAAATGAACTATTGCTGGATGCGAACGAAGAGCTTTGAACTGGCACCTACAATAAGAGGGACATAGCATCAACATTGACTGATCTTCAAGTGGAGTATCATTTAACCACCAGAGGAGCCACTGTTGCTTTATTTCAATAAATCAATGAAGGTGTAACTCTTTGGATTACAAAGACCAACCTGGTTCTGCCAAGGTAAATATTGAGATTGGACAGTGAACTTTGAACTTAAGCTGAAGAGTAGTAATAAACTGAATCTACTCTTAAATACAATAGCCAAGCAGCAGACTTTGTAAAATTATGGTGCAGAGAAAATCTCTTGTATGAAGGACACAAATTCTAAAGTTACTAAAGAGATTTGACCAGGGAGGTCCTAATTGCTTATCTAATTGCTATCATTATGAGCTGTCTCAACAGAGTGTGATTAAGCCTGTGATTAAGACACACATTAGAGCCAAACGATGCATCAAGTAGCCTGTGTTGGAACATGCAGCAGCTAAGCTCTCATGGGCCATTAGACAAATAGCAAAAATTGAATTTTGAATCATGGACACATTAGAGAGTCAGTTTAACACCAGTGGATTTCTGAAAATGAGCAAGGACCAGGCACTGAACAAAGTAGTAGTACCTCTCCTTGATGGCTTTATTCTAGTAATTGGCCTGGTTGGACATTTTTTAGTTATTACCATCCTAAATGGCAGGAGGAAGAGAGATAGTCAGCCTCCACACAGTACAGACACACTGCTGTTGGCTCTGAGTGCTGCGGACCTGCTCCTACTGCTCTGCCTGCCCTTCCACACCTCAGCCATCACTCTGGGATACTGGCCTTTTGGAAGTTTCCTATGTAAGGCTATTAGCTTCATGGGGATTGCTTGTTCAACCGCATCAGTGTTCACACTGGCAGCGTTAGCGGTGACCCGTTACCTGACTGTGGTGCACCCTACCTGGGCTTACCGTTCAAGGATGCACCGGCGCATTAAGCTCACAGTGGCTCTGCTCTGGGTCCCAGCCTCAGGGCTGGCGGCACCACAGTTTGCTTTCCGCACTGTCACAACCTCCAGCGCTGTGTACTGTTTTGCCTTTTTGTCCACCTTCAGCCAACTGGTCTACAGCATTGCCTTGTTCATTTGTGGATTTGCCATTCCACTAGCCATTATTGTATTTATGTATGCCAAAATATATTGCTTTCTTCAACGTGCAAGGCTACTGGGTAACCCTTCTCAACTAGAGCGCTATCAAAATCAAGTGACCCACACTTCAGCTCTGCTTGTTCTGATCTTCACGCTCCTCTGGCTGCCATCCTACACCCTCATGTTTTCTTTCATTGGAGGGACTGTATCAGGAGCCCCAGGCTATAACCTTTTTGCTGTATTTGCTAGACTGCTGGCATCTTCAGCAACTGTGGTGAACCCTGTCCTCTATGGCTTTATGTCACAGAAGTTTAGAAAAGAACTAATGGAGCTCGGCAGAAAGCGGTGGGCCTGGTGTAAAAGCTACCAGATCGATTGCCCTAATTTTGGGAACAGAGACATAGTGCGGCCATTTGAGTTGGACAGCTCGGACAGAAGCCAGAATTGATTAACTGCCAAAGGCTGAACACTGCTACCTCAGACAGAACTAATAATATATGTATACAATGTATTCTTATAATTCTTAACATTTATTTTTCTCTTAGCAAGCCTTTTAGATTTAAAACATAGAAAAAATGTGTTCACTGGATGATCTTGTGATGTAAAACAAGAATTTTGTTCTGTATATTGAGTAGCTCTTCAAGTGGCAGCTCTCAGTGAGAGAAGCTGCAGCTGTGTGTTCATGCAGTAGCTCCTCATTGAGCAACAGCTGCCAACATGGGCACTAATGTCATGTTTAAACTTCTCAGGTAAAGAAGGATGTCATTCATTAAGTAGAAAACGTACTCTAGATGGATCCAAAGTAACTTTGATGTGTATATATAGAATATATAGAATATAGAATAAAATAAATTTGACAAACTTACTATCAACAACAATCTTGCGGTCTGCTCCATCATCATTGATCTGCTGGATGTTTCCAAAGTGAATGTCACTGAAGAAGATGCGGTTAGACCCTTTTCCTCCTCCTCCGTGATAGTCAAAACTCAGAGCAATGACATTCTTCATGTGGTCTGGGTCCTCAAATGGTTTTATAGGAGCATTTAAATTAGTCTCATCTGATAGGTGTATGCTCTTTAATATAGTCCTCTCGGAATAAAGCAGATATCCATCATAGTCACGGCAGCTTTTGTTGTCCTCAGCAAGCATGCCATGTGCACAAGCGCAAGTCCGCTGCCCATTTCCACGAAACAGACATAGTTGTTCACAACCACCATTGTTGTCCTTGCAAACATTGGTGCCTACAAAGATGACAAAGGAATTTAAATAAATTAAAACTGTAATATTATAGAATTGTACTGAAAATAGTTCAAACAACAGAGTTAGTATGAAAAGGCAATAGATTATAAATCTGTGCATTTTTCTGGATTGTTACAAATAATAGTGCCATAATTAAAAACAGATGACGTTGTTGTGGGTAGGGTACCTTGTTGCCTGGCTCTGTTGAAAACCTTTATGTCTTTCAGCTGCACACCGATTCCAGTCCTCAGCTGAACTGCATCTGTAGCATTGTCTTTGCTGCCTCTTTTAATGGAGCCATTTGCATGAGTCCTGCAGATAAAAAAAAAAAAAACAAAAACAAAACAAAAAACTACTACTGTAAGCATAACATATCATCATCAACAACAAAAATATGCAAACAAATAAATTATTATACTTAGCACAAACCTGTCACTCCAGTAGATGTATTCCTCAAAGACAGACACAGCAAACATATCCATATTGTTGTTGGCCAACACCAGCTCTCTGTTTTCTCCAGTCTCGAGGTTGATGCGCTCAATCTTATCAGTTCTGGCATCACACCAGTAAAGCAAACCTTCCTACAAGTCCAAACAAAGTCAAATCAGTTATTACATTAAACCCACAAATAGGAAATTGGCAATGTTGAGCGGCATGTCAATCAGTGCGTTACCTGACAGTATAATAAGTTAGCCAGATCATAAAAACATGAGATTTTAATACTGATACCTCATAGTCAATGGAGATTCCATTGGGCCAGCTGATGCTCACATTGACTAGGACTAGCCTCTGAGAGCCATCAAGACGAGAACGCTCGATACGGGGGTACTGACCCCACTCTGTCCAGAACAGGTACCTACATTAGACAAAACAATGTATGAAAACATCATTGTTTTCAAGAAGTTATTCAGAAAGATGTGTATAAACCTGTAAGGTAAAAACATGGCACAATCTCTAACATCATCAATAAAATCCTTACCCTTTCACTGGATGAACAGTAATGGCTCTAGGTTTATCGAGGCCCTGTGAGATCACCACATAACGGAAAGAACCATTCAGTCGTGCAACTTCAATCACATCAAAGCCCTGGTCAGTCCAATAAATATTTCCTGTAATAAGAAATGGTTAATATAGGTACACAAGGACCTGATTTTTAAATAGTATTGTGCAATGGTTAGTCTTCAAACCTGCTATCCAGTCCACAGTGATGCCCTCCACTCTCCCAATCCCATTTGTAACCACATCCTCTCTCCAGGTCTGGTCTCTCTTGGCTCTGCTGATGGTGCTTAGGCCCATGTCAACCCAATAAATGGTGTCATTCTCTGAAAACCAAAAATCATTTTCAGCCCCATTATAAAGTCTCACATCATCAAAGCCAATTCAAAATTTCACTGAAGTGAGGCATTTTACTTGCTCTGGTCCAATAACTCACCAGCATGAAAGTCGATGCCAACGGCCAGAGAGGTGCCAGACACTGGCACCAGAGCGTCAGATTTGTCTGCAGGGTCCAAAGGAATTCCTCTAATTCCCTCATGGACTGAGTAAAGCAAGAAGGAGCCCATTCCTGTTTAAGACAGAATCATTCGATTTTTATAAACTACATCAGTGGTGAAAGAATCTCTTTGAGAACAGCTGTCGTACCCTCACAGGACTGCTGACCACTCTTCAGGCTGTATCCTGCGGTGCACATGCAGGCCCGGGTTGTTGAAGAAGTGGGAAGGCACAGTTGAGAGCAGTCTCCATTGTTGTTACTGCAGAGGTTTATACCAGCTACAGGACAGGAAAATAAATATGTGAAATGTCTGCTACACACTGTACAAGTCAGAGCTTCAGACTTGAGTAACTACCTTTCTGTGTATCTTCATCATATATCTTCATGTGCATCATTGGAGATGTGTTGTTTCTTAAGACCTTCCAGTTTCCTCCATCTTTCTTGTCACATGTCCCAATTTGATCACTCCCCTGGTCTGCCCACCAGAGCTTGTCTCCTAAAATAATTTTATCATTGAAATTGTTGTATACGACCACTGTGTATTTGTAAATAGTGTTGATATCTTACCCATAATTGCAAGTGCTGTGGCTTTGGTAAGTTTGCCTTTAATGCCCTCAAGTATCTCCAGGTTGGACCCATCCAGTTTACAGCGATTAATGGTGCTGTTTCCTGAGCTTATCCAGTACAGCTTCTCATTCTCATAATCAATTGAGAGACCTAACAAGAAATAGCACATGTATTACTGCAGCATAAAGATAATCTCTTCAATTTTAAACCTCAATTTAAAGTTCTCTACTCACCAACTGGCCCTTTTTGGTTGGTAAAGAGTAAAGTGCGATTTGTGCCATCCATATTAGCCATACTAATGTTATCCCCATCTGTCCAGTACAATTTACTGCAATACATTTAAATAGTTTAAACACTCCTTCCACTCTTTTTGCATAATAATACAATGGAAAAAAGATGCTGTAAGAAACTTTGCTGAACACCAACCCAAGCAGAGGGTGTGCAACCAGACAGTGGGGTTTATCAAGTCCCTGGACCACAGCATTTTTAAAAGACCCATCCAATCTGGCCACATTGATCTGCTTCTTATTGGTGTCATAACTAGTCCAGAAGAGGTTTCTTGACACCCAGTCCACTGCCAGTCCATGTGCATTGGGAAGATCTGCAAATGATATGTGCAATTTCAAACATACTGCATTTACAATGACAACTCAAGTTCAACGAAAATGGTCCTTACCAGCTGACACAACAGTCTCCACACCAGTGCCATTAATGAAGGCTCTCTTAATAGTTTGAGTTCTGACATCTGACCAATAGATGCGATGTTCTACAGCATCATAGTCCACAGCTGTGACATTGTCTATGTCCGGCACAGTGAAGGAAATGATGTAGTTGTAATAGGGATTGTCGATGTCAACTCCTCTGATCTCAATTTGACGAGCATAGAGGAGAAACTTGCGGGATTCTGAGTAATATAACCAAAAAGCAATTAAATGACAAGCCTGTGAGTAATTTGTGGTAGTTATAGTTATGTTCCCACTGGAATATATTGGGGACATACTTCCTAATATTACTTAAGCCAGAAATTTATGAAAGATGAAACTGAAATTACAAGGTCTGCACATACAATACATGAAATATTATTTCATGTAAAATGTATTAATTTAGTTAATTATGTTTATTTTAATGGTACTAAGCACACAGTAGCTATAATATGTTTGTCAGGTGTGTGAGATAATCATGCTTGAAAGAAATGGTAATATATACAACCATTACTAGCTCCTGTTACCTTTACATGTGCGCTTGTCAGCTTGCAGTTTCATAAGGTGAGGACAGGCACAGGAGAATGTCTGGTTGAAGTTGATGAGGCAGAGGTGGGAACAAGGGCTTTTGCCATCTTTAGCACAAGGATTTGGAGCTAAATAAGATATAGAAAAGTAATGAGAAAACATCCAGGCATCAACCAAAAAAAATGTTACTGTGTATGTAAGTATAAGTATGCTATTGGATACTACAGTACGTGAAAAGTGCAATCACTGTTCCAATTTAGACAATTCTACATTTTAGTCACCCTAATCACCCTAATCTGTTGAGTGGTTTTCTGATCACTGATACAGGACATTTATCTGTTATTTGAGATATAAAAAGCACATTAAGCTTCTGAAATGACAACTTAGACACCTAAAATGTGTTGTTTAAATCAAATTTGTACTTTTTCTTGAGTCAATGTCAATTTCTTGTCTTCAGACAATGATAAAAACTTTTTGGCAGTACTTGCTAATATATGCATTGTGACTCCATGTACCCCACGTGTTCAAGTAGCACACCCACAGCACGAGATCAATGTGTCAGTAAGTTCTCAATGGAATCTGCAGTGAACCATGAGTTGTTTATCATTTAAACTTGTGGGCTTGATTACTGACAGTCTGACAGTCTGACTCAGTCTGGCTGGGCAGTCACGCTGAATGGGGTTTTGTGACTCACCCTGAGGTTGTCTTGATGGGTGGTAAACCTGCAGGTCAAAGGGCTGTGTGTTGGTGCGCTGGACCACAGTCACATTGTGTCCAGTCCATTTGTTTGCTTTAGATAAGGTGTTTGTCCTCCAGTCAGTCCAGTAGACCTCACCACCATACATAGTGACAGCAAATGGGTGCGACAGATACTCGTGACCACGCAAAACTTCAATGAGCCCTGATCCATCATACTTAGCAGAGTAGATTGCATCTGACCTGTAACAGAACAAAATTTGAATAATAGGAAATGACAGACCCATTACAGGATTCCACATAAAAAAGTCCAATTGAATAGTACATTTTACCAGCAATATTTACCATTATAAATTGTTAATTTGAGGCAAAGGGAGTGGTTGATGTAAGTGTGGATGGATGCAGTCCAAATGGGATGGAGTAATATTGAGACCTGCTGCAAATATTACCTGGCATCGATCCATACAATGCGCCTCTCCATATAGTCTACAGTGAGTCCATTGGGCCAACCACCACTGCCAGTCTCTCTGTGGATCGTGCGCCTGCCTTCGCCACTCATAGAAGCGGCCTCTATCCTAGGCTGACTCGCATCCCAATCAGTCCAGAAGAGAATACTACCAAAAAGTGTAGACAATGATTGGGTGAATGCTTTGCAATACTATATAAATGTATAAATGAATCTTATTTTGTATATCTTACCCATCACGGGGATCTAAAGCAATAGCACGAGGGTGCTCTACTTCTCCAGCCAACAGAGTTGTCCTCATTGTCCCATCAAGTTTAGCAACTTCAATTTGATCCAGATTACTCTCAACCCAGTAAATGTTTCCAGCGATCCAGTCTACAGCCAGGCCCTCAGGTGTGGCCAGTCCATACTGAATCACCACCTCAAAGCTGGTCAGAGCTGGAGCAAAGAAACAGAAATGGTAAGGAAAAATGATCTGCCTCACAGGCTTATCAGAGCAATGTCAGCTTTGCCTTTGCACAATATGGGATCATTTTCCTTCAAAACTGATGAGTTACGAAGATAGTTTTAAACTGTGTAACACCCAGACACATACATTCTTGTATGATCAGTATTTTCAGTATAATCATGAAGACCAAGTTCAGATTTGGATGTTGCTGATCTCAGTTTCAAACCTGCAGTCACACACTCCCAGTCCCAAGACAAATGAGAAAAGACAAGGCCTTCCAAGTGCCCCTAAAGAGCTGTGCCAATGTGTAGGGCAGATTTGAAAGCGCTACAGTGATGTGCTAAAATAGTAGAATTATTTGTTCTGTATATCAGCAGACTGTTAAACTCCACTCCAAACCATTAAAATGCATTTTTGGTATAAATTGGTTACAAATAAACGCATACTGCACTGAATGAATTCTAGTACCTATGGTATGCCGCTGTGACACAGCTCTGGTTGGAACAAAGGGGTTCAGTAAGTCACTGAGAGGTTTAACTTGGCTGAATTTTGCTCCCCAATAAACTAAAATTGGAAAAATGTGTGCTGTTTTCACCTCCATTTTCAGAGAGTTTCCCTCTGTATATCTTGTCCTCAACCACATCGGTCCAGTACAATGTGCTCTGGTTGAGGTGAAAGTCCAAGGCTATCGTGTTCCTCAGGCCTGGGACCAGCACACTGAACTCCCCTTTGTGAAGCTCTATCCTTCGGATCTCATGACGGTTGGAAAAAATTATGAAGGGTTTGAAAGGATCTGAAAAATAAAAATGAATAATAAATATGAAAAATGCACTTAGTGGTCAAATAAATTCAATGCACAGTGACTATCTGATTATTACTTTTGTAACCAAGTATAATGCTTATATTTAAGGTGAGGAAAATAGAATACATTTTCCTCACCTGTGCTTTTGCAACTTTCCATGTCAGACTCCAATTCCCAGCCCTCATAGCAGGAGCACTTGACGGTGGATTTCTCCTGCTCGCACTTCTGGCTACACTTAAGATGTTTGGCACAGAAGCTCTGGATCTGGCAAGTCTTATTGTCAGGGCCCAGCTCCATACCCAACGGGCAAGAACACATGTATCCTTCTCCAGGAATTATTGTACAGTTGTGACTGCAGCCTCCTTTGTCCACTGCACACAGATCTTTAGGAAAAAGGGAGTTGCTATTTATGAATCAAGTCTTATAGATTTCATTTCTATATGTATGTATATATGTATGTATGTATGTATGTGTATATATATATACATGTATGTGTATATATATGTGTGTGCGTGTGTGTGTGTATATGTATATATATATATATATATATAAAATATATTTAAAAAAACATTACACACCACAAAGTTTCTCATCAGAGCCATCAGGACAGTCATCAGTGCCATCGCAGAGCTTTTCAGCGGGCAGACAGATGGAGTCATTGGTGGCACACATGTGGTGAGATAATTTACACACCAACGCTTCACAGTTGTCCTCGTCCGAATTGTCCTCACAGTCACTGTCTCCATCACACACCCAAGCCTTACTGATGCAGCGAGCTGTTCATGGAGGACAGTTAGACCATATCGACTGCATCACATTCACCAGAACTACAGCTAATGTTCCTACCCGAGTCCCTGCAGCTGAACTTGACCGCAGGGTCACACATGTGTGTAACGCCATCACAGCTGTTCTCATCGCTTAGATCCATACAGTCTGTGTCTCCATCACAACGCCAGCGCATGGGAATGCACAAACCATCCATCCGGCACTGGAATTCATCGACATGGCAGCCACCTGGAGGTCGAGTAGCTATAGGAAAATAAACACAAACACAGTGTAAAGTAATATACTGTAATACTTTCAATAAAGAATTAGTCAATTGCACCACACACTGAACCTGAAAAAAGATATAAGTAAAAAAAAAAAAAAACAGTGAAGGTAAAAGGAGTAGAGATGCTTTTATTATGACTAACTACTTCCAGATGGCAGACCAACAAAGCCTACAAACACACACAGGCAGAAAACGCACACACAGCACACAGGCTGCTCGTTAGACCAACAGGTCCCGCTGAGTCCCAGTCCCTCTGCTTTCTGAGACCTGACAGCACTTGGCTGGCGTTTTACAAGGATCAAATAATAGCAGGATGTGCCAGTGACAATAGGTGTCTTATACACATGTAAAACTTGCTAAACTGCTAAACTGAATCCCCCAGTAACATTTACATGTCAAAAGACTGTTGCAGCAACAAAAAACATTTCCTTTCCACAAATTCCACAAAATATTTGTAATTATTAGGTCAGGTCTCATCCAACCATAAACTTAATCACATCCCGAAACAACAACAGAGAGATTCACTCTAAATTAAAAGTGAATGGGGCAAGCAGGGACAAGCTGAACAATGTGAAAAGGGAAACTGAGATGCCTGTAAAAACATACAAACAATGGCATATCACATTGTTTACATGACTAGCACAAATTCAGCCTGGAAGACCTAACTTTGCTCCTATCTACCTGAATGTCTCGCCAAAACTTACCTGCTCCTCAGCCTTCATCACCTCACTCCAAATACTCCTCCCCGCTACTTGCCACACCTCCTCCTTGCCCAAACAGAACCCAGTCTGCCCAATTTAAACCTCCATTGCAGATGCACAGCCACTTCAGTTTGTGCCACACCCCACCTCCTCCCCAGCACCCCCTCAGTTTCTCATCATCTCATTTCCTCAGGCTCACCTCTAACATACAAGTTTAGGGGGAATACATCTCCTAAACTTCATCAGCCACACCCTTCATTGCAATATTTATGGCTGGGATCTGAGAGCCAAAGGAAACTCATTCAATAAAATTACTAATACTTTCTTTTTGTGTGTCAGAGTCTCTCCAGATTGAAATGTGTGTAGCTTTTCTTACCCTGGTTGGTGCAGTTAGCGTGTGTCTCATCACTGTAGTCTCCACAGTCATTGTCCCCATCACACGTCCAGTACTCGGGGATACAGCGGCCACTGTTGCATTTAAACTGGACACTGGAGCAGGAGTGGCTGCACCCTGCCTCATCGCTGTTATCTCCACAATCATTGTCTGTATAAAAAATATACATCTTTCATTAATTTGTGCAGGCAGGAATACCATATGTAAATATTCATATATTTATTTCAATATATGAGAGCTCACCATTGTCACAGCGCCAGTTAATGTTTATGCATCGTCCATTTGCACAAGTGAACTGCGTCAATGGGAAGCAAGTTGGATAGGCTATAGAGAAAAAGCAAACATAAAAGTAAACGCATCTTAAATAAGCCATATCTTAAATAAGACTATGTTAAAATATAAAAAGTGAAAACTACCACAAGAGTCTGGCTCATCAGAGCGGTCTCCACAGTCATCATCCAGGTCACATGTCCAGGAGATGGGGATGCAGCGACCACTGGCACATGGATACTGATTGGGTGGGCATGTGCGTGCTGCCAGGAAGAAAAGCAGACCTTTTTAAATAAAACCATCTTCTTTCTAATTAAAAAGCCACAAATCTACATCCAGACCAGGATTATCTAATTACAGTCAAAAAAGGACATCCTCAAAGACCTGGCAAATTACAACCTAATATTACATATTCTTTTATTAGAGACAGCACTTAGAAGTGGTGGCACCCTAACAACTGGCTTTATCTTAATTAAGCACAGAGTTATTTATTACCCCTTTCATTTTAATTGAGACACAGGCGGCTCTTAAAAAGTAATACGTGGTATTATTAAGGGATGCGTACCAGGTCTGTTTACTGTTGTGGATGTTATTTATTAGTATATTCACGTAAGTGGTACATATCAGTCAACAGTATGTAGCATACCAGAGCAGGTAGTGTTAGATTCATCTTCATCATTGCCACAGTCATTGTCTCCATCACAAAGCCAACGAAGGGGGATACAGCGGTTGTTCTGACATTTAAACCGGTCAGCTGGGCAAGTGTGCTGGTCTGGAAAAATTCAGACAAGAGAAAAGACAATGAGCCAAATGCTAAAACTAATGCACCATGAATATTGTGTGTGACACACGAAATGAAACTTTAAAAATAAAGACATTAAACAAATTAGCTCCAAGCTCGTTTGATGAGAAGAAAGCATGTCATAGTAATTACTACCACATTAAACTCCATGGAAAGAAACAATCTCGGAAACTACAAACTGGCAGTTCTTGCGAGTTACATGAGTTTTATGTTTTTCTTTGTGTTGCGGCTGTAGCCATGACAATGACGTGGCAGACTTACGGCAAAGCTCCGGCACCTCGTCACTGTTGTCCAGACAATCGTTGTCTCCGTCACACTTCCAGCGCTCTTGGATACAGCGGTTGTTCTTACAGGCAAACTCCCCAGGTTGGCACTGAGGCGGGGGCACATAGGAGGGGTTGGCTAAGTTTGGGGAAAGAGCAGAAAGAGTTTGGACAGTGAAACAAAAGCTATGCAACTAAATTTCTTTGAGCATTTGTATTTTGTGACATTCCTTGGCAGACTTTATTGAAACCTCTCCCTTCATTTGGTTGCTGCCTCAAATGGAAAGTACTCCCTGGATTACTGTAATAACCATAAGTCTTGCCGAGAAAAGTATTAGTGAAACCTTCCACTGCTGAAGCAGCTAAGTACCTTTGCAGGTGACGTTATCCACATCCAAGATTTGATCGTCTGCACAGGCACAGGACCGACCATTAGGAATAGCAAGGCATAAGCTGCTGCAGCCACCATTGTTAACTCTACATGCATTGGACCCTGAATGAAAAGCAAAAATATAAATATAAATACTGAAATCACTTGATGGGATTTATAATAGAATTTAAAGACTACCTTGCTGCTGCTGTGCATCATAGACTCTGATCTCAAAAATAGGTGGCCTCTCATTGCGAAGTAAGGTTACATTTTTGGTTTCCTGATCCAATTTATAAATGCTTCCACCACGATACTCATTCCAGAAGAGGAATTGCTTGTAATGGCACAAACCAAATGCGTGATTCAGCTCCTGACCTTCATACACAACCTGTAAGATTTAAAGGAATAAATCATGACACCTAATCTTTTTAACTTATGATAATTTTTAAGATGTTCTTTACAATTGCAAACCTTTCTTTCTGTAGAGTTGAGGTACACAAGCTCAATGCGATCATAGTATGCATCCACCCAGTACAAGATTCCCTGGGGAATGTCTAGACTCAGACCATTCGGCCACAGCACAGTCTTGCTTGTCAAAAACACTTGATGATGAGAACCATCCATCCAAGCTTTCTTGATTTTGCCTCTGTTGCTCTCAGTAGGATCCTCCTCCCAGTCTGTCCAGTACATCCACCTAGAAAACAATAATTTATCATTAGAGGAACTGTAGTGTAGAACAAACCACATTTTAAGTTTGAGGTCAAAAACACTTGTCATCTAATACTAAAATGCCATGATGAAGAGGCAATCTGGTCATGGGGCTATGATCAATATATCTCATTCATATTTAATGTCTTTCTTACCCATGCTGAGGGTCCACCACAATTGCTCTGGGGTGACTCATCTTTCCCTCTATAAGAGTCTTGCGGGTCTGGGAAGCCTTTTCCAACCTGGCAACGCTAATAGTTTTCTTAGGTCCATCATCTGTCCAATAAAGATTACCTCCCATCCAGTCCACTGCTATCCCCTCTACAGTGTGAATACCTGAGTTAAAAGAGCAAAGGATAGATAAAAATAGCTTTTTTACTGTTGAGAATTTAAAACTCAATTTTGGTGGTTTGAGTCTCCAAGAAGAACATGCAAACGCTTACCTTCCTTTAATATAGTGTCCCTCTCTGTCCCATCTATCTTCTGTCGGCCAATGATGTAGCTTGTAGCATCCGCAAAATAGATGAATTCACTGGCAGCATGGAAATCCAGAGCTCTGGGGTTCATGAGGTTTTCAATGGGGATCATGTATTCATCAGGGACCTTGGCATTCATGTCCATGCCTCTGATGATGCCCGGACGACCCTTGCCATACACCAAGAACAGCTCATGGTCTGGTTCTAGAAAAAAACATAGTAATATGTATGAGTGTATGAGTATATATGAAAATATCTAAGACAAAAGTATACATTGTTCAAGATAGAAAAAATTACAAATCAGATGTCAGAACATAATTTATTCACTGAGAGAATATACCTATTATAACTATAAATTTTCTGCTTATATGCATTTTGTATGTGGAATCCAGGAAAAGTTGTCAAGTTGTCATCAATTTCAACACTTACTTTTGCAGGATTTCCCGTCACTACCGAGGCTGAACCCCGATCGACACCGGCATGTTCTTGTCTTATGGCTGTTGCTCAACAAACAGATGTCTGAACAACCTCCAGGCTTCCCAAACTGGTCCAAGGCACAAGCATGACTGCGCACTGGACAAGGACAGAGCAAGGACCCACATGAAATGCAAATACATAAAATATTAACAGGATGATCTAATTATCTTTGGCTTCTGTCTTGTACCCTGAGGCTGGCGTCTCTGATGGTACACATGCAGTGCTGCGCCTCTGTCTACACGTGTGACCACATGGAAGTCTGTGCGGTTGAAGCGGTTCACTCGGATCACACTGGTCTTGGGGTTGAGGTTACCTTCATCAGAGTTTGTTGCATACAAATAGTTCTCGAATACAGTCAGGCCGTAAAGATGCTCGATCTGAAATTAGATCATATGGTCAATAACATACATAAAATTTATACAAACAATAAATATTATTATATCTCATTGACAAATTTAGTTGCACACAAACTTGAAAAGCAAAGTTCTTCTGTTTTCAATACTGCTTATGTAGCTCTTTATTCCCAATGCATTTTGAACAGATTCTAATAATACTGCAATAATAAACATACTTGGTGTATCCGAGATACCTTTTTCAAAACAATCCACTAAAATAACACTGACAGAACCATCCATTTCATGTGCTTGTAGATAGATTAACATCACCAGGTGTGGCATGAACAAATAATACAATGTAAAGATATATATAAATGTAACTCTTTGTTATTGTTATGATTTGTGTTCTACGTTTTTTGGCAAAAAACAACTGAATTTGTTTTGTCCATCTGTTGAAAAGCTTTATTTTTATAGGGGCCAGTTTTACGCAGCTTTGCTCCTCTGACAGTGTGATATATGGGCTGGGATCATGTTACCCCTACACACCCCGTCCCCTCGCCAAAAGAGCCCTGATTTCATTCAGTTCATTACTCTACAGTGAGATAGGGACCACTCTGCTATAGCAAGAGTTATGTGTTAAGTTAGTATTGGCAAGGGAAATCACAGCCTTTTTAAGTAATCTCTATTAGGGTTATAAAAAGTAAAAGCCTACATAGCTCTTGAACAATCACTTTAATAAATTGGTGATTGAGCATATTCTGTGTACTCTGTAAAGATATTATATTAATTTGAGTAGGCTGAATTGCATTGTTTGTCAAACAGTGAGAGATACAGGACTATATTCATACCATACTAGAACAACTCACAATTGTAATAGTAATACCATGCAATAGATAAGCCTATGTCAATCACTTTTTAATCTTTTTAATCTTTCTCCTTAATGACCTCTTGTATAGTTGAGATATAGTATATTTCTATATTTTATTTTTACTTATGTATACTTATGTACATATGCATTTATGCTTTATTTGAGGATCAATAAATTTATCTAAGTCCAAGTCTTTTGCACTGATAGCTCACCAGCAGGCCCTGAATAATGGTGTGGCGGTTCTTTCCTTCATAGTCCACCACTTCAATGTAGTCGAGGTATGCATCAGCCCAGTACACCAGCCTGTTGACCAGGTCCAGAGTGATACCATGAGGGAAGACGATTTTACTGTCCACGAGTTTAGTCCGGTTCTGTCCATCCATATCACAACGCTCGACTCTTGGAGTGGAGCCATAGTCTGTGAAGAACACTTTTCTGCAAGAAAGAAAGAGAAATCTAAATTCAACCCCAATTTTAGCTTAATCTAAAACCACAGTTATTTCAGGTTAAAAGGTTAAAAGTACAGAGAAATCCAGAATTTTGTGTATTTTGAAATTCTAGAAGTGATACTCGTAAAAAAAGGAAATGCATCGGTCAGTACAAGGAACCACAAAAGACATCCTTGCACTTAAGGTTTAGACTGACCGCCCAGTCAGCAGCCTGTCTGATCATAAGATCCTATTTTCAGCCTAAAGTACTTCAGAAGGTCATTTCAGGTCAAGTGGAAAGGATGTAGCACAAACCCCATGGCTGGGTCCAAGGCGATTCCTTTGGGATTGTACAGTTCCTGATCCAGAAGAGTCACACAAGTCTGGCCATTTTTGTTGCACACAAACACCCGGTCGTCCACATCATCGACAAAGTAGAAGTTTCCAGTCAACCAGTCAATAGCCATCTGTTCAACATCTAAAGAAAGCAGATAAAAGACAGGAACTGGTTAACAAAACTGACAATTCTTGCACAAAATATAATTTAGAAAATAGAGCACTTGGAAAAAAAGTATTATATAATAAATAACTTTCTCAACAGCATTTAAACTTTTTGTCTGTCAAGTAAAGATCCTCTTGATAAAATGGCAGAAAGGATGTGGGAATGACAGCTTGTAAGCAAATGTGTAACCACATGCAGTTCTGGGGCACAGGGGATCATGAGGATGCACCGAATCCTGAGCAGGGAAGTGTTTTAACAGCTGCCTCTGCGATTTCTTTCAAAGCACTGGTCTGTATACACACCACACAGGCTTACCTCACATACATCCACAATCAAAGTGACACAGTTGTCTTTGAGTTAATCCAAGGAACAACTGTGATCTTGAGGTAAAGGTGAGGGTTATAACAGATCTGGGATTTTGATATTTCTTCAGCAGTGGAGCTAAACCTCTCCAGATCAAAAATCCACATTGATTTTAATTGTCAAAGATCAGCCTATTTTTTATCAAAAGGTATAAGGCTATTCTCTGTCAGAAAAAGCATGTGGTTTGAAGCAGAGTTCATAATTTGGGGGAAAAAAATAAAATAAAATTTTTAAGATGGCAAGTATTAAAAGTCTATCTTGTTTAAGTTTAATTCATGAATATGAAGCCAACATAAAGCCATTTTATTAAAACACACACACACAACATGAAATTGATCAATCTGTAGAAATTTAGCGAAATTGCCCGTTCAATTGAAATCTTTGCATATTTTTTGTCAGTTTAGCCAACAAACTGTGATATTTCCTCTATTATATGATTTTAAACTCAGCCAGTTTCTTCTGCATTGGCTTCATTTAGTTTTTAAGACAGTAAGCCTTGTTGTGTAACTCATTCACTCAGAATTGTGTAATAGCCAAGTGGTAGAACCCCTATCCAAGAAACCAACAGCTTGTCGACATCCCCAAGAAGTTTCTGGTAAGTGGAAAGTTTGCTGGGAAAAAGAAAAAAAATCCCTCCCCTTTTTCTTCTCCTTACCAAACCACTGCCCTCATAACCCCACCACTTCCTGTCCCCGACACCTACCAGTTCAAAACAGCCCTTGTGAAACATTACACCAGCTCAGGGGGGTCTGACTGGCAATGACACATTTTATTTTAAGTTATTTACATGAAGAATGGTAAAAAATGCATGTACTTATTTATACTGTATATTTATACACAAGGTATTTTCACACTACTTTCAGAATCATAAGAAAAGACAAACCTTACTCAATCCAAACTTCAATATAACTTATTTTTGAAAGAACTTTGAGATGAATTTGCCAAGTGAAAAAAGAAGTGAAGGTCCAGTCTTGAGAGGGTGGAGAGGATGGGATGGGTGGACTGAGCTTCCCTTTTATCTTCACATACGCAGACAGAGCAGGCCACATCTGGAAGCCTCGTATACTTATCTGCCCTGCTCTTTCAGCATCCCAGAAGCTATAAATCACCATGTTTGCGTGAACTCTGCACCAAACCCCCATCCCGCCTCCACAGAACCAAAAAATCCATTTAAGGCCAGTCATGGCCATGTCTCTGTGCCTTACTGTAAGAGACACCTGGTTAACTTATCTGGTTATAACATTTTATTTATATGGATTGTCTGGATAAATTGTAAACATTGATATTCATTCCACAAAAGGATAAAGAATAACTAAACTAGTAATAACATTGAGGAAATATTAGACACTTGTTAATGCAACTTACAATGTCGAAGATATTAAATTGAGGCTTCGATGTATTATTGAAATCAAGGTTTAAGGTCTTCTGTTTTGTCTTTAGCTTTTTGAGCTTTGCTGAAGTAAAATATATTCTTACGATTAAATATTTATACAGTTTTTGACACCTCATTAAAACATACAGTGCCATACAGTACAGCAAACATGCCTGCCCTGTCCAAGTTATCCAGCTTACATTTATCAGTAACACATGAAAACTCCATTCATAAAAAGGTAATATGTTACCAAGTAATGCACGAGTTATGTGGGTCAGTATGTGAGTGTGCCTCAACAGCATGTGCCTGTCAGTGTGACCTGACAGGACAGGACTGAAGACGGCTGTAGGAATGTAAGGTTTGTTAAAGCTGACATAACCCACAAGAGGAATGTAAATACCATCTGCATGACCACTTCCACCAATGGTACAACAAATCACTACCATTTGTTTCACTATACAACTGTCTGCTCTCATTTTGTCTGTCTCACTCAAAGTGGCATACTCATCACGCAAAGGCCTACGCAAGAGTGTAGAGAACACACAACAATACCCCTCCAAGTTTTGAGATGTTTTCTGAGATGATCTCTTGATTGTCACTCAATTGCTGTACAAGTTTATCTACATGCAAAAAGACATCTAATTACTTAATCTCCAGTTATGTATCCTGCCTTTCTGGGTCTACAGACCTAGCTTCACCACTTGTTTTTCTCATCTGCTGTTCCATGCCTGAGGCAAATTCTCAGTGCTTGTCACAGGCAGAATCTCATAATACACACAAACACACACCTCAGCTTTTATGTTCGTCTACATTTTTACGATTATAAAATTGTTTCATGTCAAGACACTACCAGGTTCATAAAAATGTCACCTTGTTTTGATTTAAGTACTCTGTTAGAGATTAAATTCAGCCTTTGTTTATCATTTGTTTAGTAATACTGAAAGAAATCTAACATGTCTCACATTTACAAAAAATTTGTAGTACTAACATTAGCTGGTGGCTGAACATACCTTATGAAGTAGACTTATAACTAAAGTACCTGTACTAACACTACTGTCCCTTTTGCATTGAAGGATTTCAAATTGCATCATAACATTTCACACATAAACCATGTTTATTTATGTACAATTGGTACAACTGATTCAATGAAAAGACATTTCTTGTGTTAGAGATGGATGTCCCAGTTTCAACATTTTTACACTGGATCAACTGGATACAACAACACCACGTATCACACACCTATCGTACTCTCATCATATTCTCCATCTTTCTATTCAAGTTTCATGAAATTAGTACTCACGGTGCAGGCTGAGGGAGATGTTGATGGTGTGGATGTTGGTGATGGTCTTGAGATCGGGGATGCTGGCACACTTGAGTTGAGTGGTTGCAGGGGTGTCTCCCACATCTATCCAGCAGACCTTCTCCTCAGAGTACACAAAGTCCATGGCCATCGTCTGCTTTGTCGTGATGGAGGGCAGTCTGGACATGGAGCCTGATAAAGTGGTGCACCGAATATCGTGGAGGTTGGCAATCAAGAGCATTGGAAGACGATCCACGGGAACTGTAAAGGAAGAAGTGGGATTTTAAGGGATTATGCAATATGTGAATATCATAAAGGTATCAATATATCAATATATCAAAATTGACTATTGTGAACTTTAAGCCATGTTATAACATTGTTACCTCCTGAAAAACATACCAGGAGCTGTGTTTTGTTTCATTCACACATTTTATTATTAGTCGGTCTACATCTCTACCGCTCAAAATGCTCTGTTCCATCTTGTGATGTTATGAAGCAGCAGTTATCAAGTTAACAGCCTTCTATTACCTTTGTGCAATAGAGATTGGCAATTCCAGGACTGAAATTATCCAAATCATTATTGTGAAGGTGTACAAAGTTTAAAAACACAGCAGAGCATGTCCTGTGACATCACTAGGTGTTTTCCCTTTGAGAGATTAACTCAACCTACATATGAATATCAGGTATGTTTTTAACAAGGAAACAACGTTATAACATATTTCGGTAAATAGTGTAATATGGGCCCTTGAAGTAAAATGTACACAATGGAAACCAAAAATATTTAAAGCTTATATGAAACAACTGATATTTTGTACAATCGATGTGTTTCAATGACCAAAGTAAAAAAAATAAATAAAAAAAACATACCATTTTTGGCTTTGCAGGAGCGGTTGTCTGGCTGCAGCAGGTAACCCTCCACACAGCTGCAGGTGTAGGAGCCCTCTGTGTTTGTACATGTCTGAGAGCAGGTCCCGTATACACTGCACTCATTGAAATCTAACAGAGAAAACAGTCAGTTATCAAAATTCTTGTAGTAGGCCTCTTTGTACTGGAGACAATGCAGTAGTAAGAAATACTTTTTATTAAGTCACAAATATTAAGCAATTAATATATGAATGAAACCTATCGTAAAATCTTGGGCACCTATTTTTGACTTAGTGTTTATGACACGTTTGACTGCTCAATTGAAAAAACAATTGAAATGTTTAATATTTTTGTTTTTTTCCACTGTGATATATATATATATATATATATATATATATATATATATGTAACTTCTTAAAATGTGTTATCACTTCGACCCAAATATGGTAATGTCAAAGCAATGCGCTGCTGTCTCTTATATGTTAAAATTGCCAAATAAAAAAAAACAAAAAAAACTTGAATTACAAAAAAAAAAAAAAAAAAAAAAGAATTAAACATATCAATAACATATCTTAATTCATCTTGATTTTTTAGCATATTGTTTGGTTGGTATTTGTTTTTTCATATATTTCCAGTTTAGTGTCTGACAAACATATACAAAATACAGTTGTTTTGTTCAGAAAACCATGGTAAATCCCACTCACCTTTACATGTCTTTCCATCATCAGCTACTTCATACCCAGGAGCACAGTAGCACTTAGGACCGTCATGAGTTACTGCACAGTGATACTGACACCCATGGGAGGCACAGGCTGTAGCATGTTCTAAACAGAAACAAAGATAAAGAAATCATTAGGCACAATATAATTTTTAAATATTTTTAGCCAGATAGATCAAATTGTACTTTTGGATACCTCTGGCTTTGTGTTTCATGTTTTAAAACTTAAAATAATCCTGATGTATGGAAACATGCATAAGGAAGTTGGCACATATGCGTACAAAATAAAGATAGTTGTAAATAAGACATGGAGTAGAGCATTGAGGAGTCAGGAAAAACAATAGGTGCTACTAATGAGCAATTTCCATGCTGCAATTATCACGTCCAGTGAAGGAATATGCATTTTAAAAACACACAGGAGAACTTCCTAAAGGAGGGCATCACCTCAGCAGGTGGAACCAAGTGTTTTGAGTTTGAGTTTACACACATAAATGAAACAAGGGAAAACATAATATGAAAAGAGCTCAAAAGGTCAGTTCAACATAATATGAGGCCATTAAAGTAATTTCTTTCTTACCAATGTGCAAAACAGCTTCCTATAATTGATCATAATCTTTGCAAATCTCCCAGAGTTGCATCATGCGGTATCACAAGAGATAAAACACCACTGCAGGATGAGCAGGGGCTGGTGCATGTATGATGTGACAGATGAGGCAATTTGAATGCACACATGTGGGAGAGAGAAAGCCCGCTCTATTCCACCCCAGAGGGAACTCAAGGACACAGTCTTTTGGCAGCAAAAGAAAGCAGGGACGCTCAGAGCACCCTGCATCTCCACGTCCCTACAGACATCGTGTATGTCAGAGCTACAGGATAAATGGGACATTGATGGTGTCATATCTGTGTTGACACTCCCATTATATTCAGAATGAAACTTGAAACTAATAACCCTTATCTGATATTATGAAACAGTTCAAAGACATAGCAATAACTTGATTAGACATAATTCAAAAAGAGAGTTATATAGTACAAAATGGGTGGCTATAGTTGATTTTTAATTTTTAATACAATAAATGCTACATTAAAACAGAGTACACTCTCGTGACCAGACAAACACATATTTATGCTGATATTCACTCACAAAACCATCCAACAATATACAATATGAGAAACAATGGGCTAAAAATTACACATTAACAATGTAAAATCAGAGGGTAGAACTATTAGGTTCATTAGAACTGCCCAACACACTGTCAAAACAAAAATTATTTAGCACGAATGAATGACACAGTGTACATACAGTGAGCGATAGTGTGACTGTAAAGAGTGGAGATTGGACCAGTGAAGGGTCCTCATTATACAAAGGCCATGGCACTGTCTGCTACAATGGCTCTTTTGTTGTGGCCCTGAGTGAAAGGAAGAGTCCCCCAGCAAACACCGTGGCCCATATCCAATCCATTTAGCACGCCTCAGCAAGAGACCACAGGCGACCAGCACTGGAGTCCACCTCCGTTTAGGCTCATTTTCCAAGGAAGGACTTCTCTAATGGTGTGGAATATTGGCCACAAATGCATCCTGATATTAAAATAATAATGGAATATGTACACATCATTCATAATAAATGCAGTTTATATCTTAATTTGAATTTGACTTAATTAATTAATGCATTTTAATTCATCTCTGTCAACAAAAGAAAAAAAAATGACTTAGTGAAATTAAATGATTCAATTTTGAAATTTATAATGTATATGGATTGTTCTGAAAACAACCTCTAATACTAATTTTATTCTTTTATAACCAAACCTTAATAGCGTTCAAACAAAGGGCTTCTAACAGTTAAAGTCCATAATCTAAGAACAAGCATGATCATTGTACAGTACTAGAGATGAAAAGGCACATGGACAAATACATTCAAGTATTTAGCCAAGTATTTCAGAACACACACAACAGCAGTGTGTCAGACGTTCGACCCCGGGTTAATGAACAATGCAAACAACTCCTGGTGACACAAGGCCCTCAGAACTGCAGAAGCATGCCTCAACCAGTGATCCTGTTACTGCACACATGGAAACCCTTCATTTCACTAATCTACAGCAAGTGAGAACATAAAGCTTCACCGGAAGACCCCAAATAGAAAGTACTTAAATGCACAATAGCCATGAGCAATTTATTGTCTGCAAGATAAGACAGGAAGCTTCCTTATTATAGGCAATATAATATACTTCAAAACTACTATTACAACACTGCAGAGAGAGCAGAGTAAAGGAGAATGTGACTTGCAAGGTTAACTTTCAAATGAATGGTATACAACAGTACAGATGTCACAAAAGAATAAAAAAAATACTATCATAACAGTAATAATAATAACAAATTAATTAATTAATTAATGTATTTATCTATATATATATATAAAAAATATATTATATATATATATATATATATATATATATTATATATATATATATTTTTTTTTTTTAATATATATATATATATATGCGCACACATATCCATATACAGTGGACTGTCATGAGTCAGCCTTTCAGATGAAAGTGACAATGCAATATCCATGTAAATTATAACTGGTTAAGCTCTTATGGAATCTTATGGAAACATTTTTTTATCTCAACTTGAATCACCTTTTAAGTGTACTAAAATATGTGTTATAATCCAAGTAGCCCCTACATCAATGAGGACATTCCTAGCTTTGTGCTCTTGCCGTCAAGAGACAAGTTTTCACATGTCCATGACTACAGCCCCAAGCTGACAGGAGCCTATCGTTTTCCCATCAATTTCAATCAACTGAAATCCTTATAGTAATCATTATCTCCTTACTTCCTGTTGCGTTTTTTTCCCCTTGGATCAAGCACAATCCTGTCTTTAAAAAATGTGATGTATAACATATAACAAGCATAACATGTTTGAAGTCAAGCTAGGTGTTAGAGTATTACACAATCAGGTCACAGATAAACAGTGATGATGGGAAACCATAAATACGACTTGCGGGAAACTGAGAGTGAATATTAGTCACATGATTAGGGTGTGCATAATATAGGGGTATAGGTAAAACTAACTATTGAGTATATTGGCAGGCTCCTTGTGTTTGCCTATTGCATAGTTAAAGAGGGCAAAGTAACCAAAAGCAAATACAGGCGGGCCAACAGCTTGAGTAATGAACACACAGTAACTTTAGTAGACTCAAACAGTGGCAATACGCAGAAATTATTACAAAAATTCAACATCTCCCAAACACACATGCCCGTAAATATAAACTAAAAACTCAGTTACAAGAAGTTACGGTTTGAAAAAGACTAAAAAGCCAGGCAAAAGACAATATAATTAAACAAGTCTGGTCTTGCAGGACAAATAAAAGCAGTCAATAAACTAATTTAGCTCAAGATTTATGAAGCGGTGCTTTAGGGAGCCTCAAGTAGTCTATGACCGATTCTCATTCCACAGTTAGAGGTACATGAAAAACAATGCAGCCAACTGCATGCATAGACAATGGCACTGGGGCAGTACAATAATCAGGGAAGGTTTAAGAAAGCTTTTAAAAGGGATGCAGGGACCGCATTTTCTTTTCCCATTCAATCAGTCACTTTTGAAAGAGCAAAAGGGTATTCACTCTCAACAAGCAGGACAAAGATCTTTGATTAATAAATTACATATCCCAAAAGAACAAAGCGGTATTGGTTTACAGTTTTATATAGTATCAGCTTTCATTTAATAAAAGTTTTGTCCTGTAACTTTCAATATAATGCAAAGATATATAAAAATGTAACTATTGTAATATTCTGTGACAATATATAAAAATGTTCAGCTGCTTCTCTGGCAGATATAACCTGACCTACCTTTCTAAGCACTGCTGTCAACAACCTAAGACATACTACTGACAAAGTGTGCTTTCAGACACTGGTGGCCAGGTATACGTGCACAACCCTGCAGTTTGTGTGAGAAAACACAGAAATGCTTGTGAAAGGCCAGACCTTTCCCTTTCCGTGAAGAGGCGGGGGATCACAAATAGCAATGCCAAAAGTCCTGGATACACTACTGGAGTGTTTGTGCGGGGGGCAGTGGGCGTGTGACTAGCTTAGAGCAGGAAGGTAACTGCACATTTGTGCACGCCAGTGGGTCTTTGCATCATGGCAATGTAAGTTGTTGAAAAAAGGTAGAAGGTGTTGACCAGCGTATTAAGAAAAGTGACTGTCACACTGCACATTCAGGTTAAATGACATAACTGATTTGTCTAATATCTTGTGGTGAAGAGGCGATGACAATGTGGGACTTGCTCTCTAATCCAGTCTGCACAACATGCACATGCCCACTTCAAGTTCAAACAGCCATGACTCATGATGAGCAAATCTTATAAACAGGTTCTGGTCATATCATAAATGAGCCTTTCAATATTTGTAAGGACAATCATCACCATCAAGTTTTATTTTAAAAAGAAAGCACGACTTCGAACATCATTTAACTGAGGAGATTATCAGTGTGGTCCTTACCTCTGCAGTGAGGCCCCTCATCCCAACCGTCAGAGCAATCTGGGACTCCATCACAGAACTTGCTCATAGGGAGACATACGTCCAGGTCCAGGCAGCCATGCTCATTCACTGGACACTGCCTTACTCTGTTGTGAGTGCCTGTGACAGAAAGACAATGCAGTAAGAACAATATCAGACACAGAAACACAAGGCATAAGATTCCCAAAATGTCTCTGTTCATATCATTAGTCCAAGAGTGTTTTTAAACAATACTATATCTGACAGTTCATGAAAGGCCTGTCACAATAATTACTATATTGACTTATCAGTCAAAAGATAACAAAATATTTTTGGGGGCACAATATGTATCATTTGTAAATTATTTGCACTTGTGGAACACTTAAAAAATAAAAAATAAAAGGTCACATTTGAGCTGCAAAGGGCATAATAATGATATATCTATAACTCTTTACTTACTACTAGTGTGTGTCACAGTGGTGTTTCATTGCAGATAATATTTTCTATAAAGTGTGGTTCAAATGAGTTTATTATCTTGCCAAATGGTCTTCAACATTCCTGCAATATTTTCTGGTAATATATCACACGGATCACATTTTTAATCATGACAGGCATTATTGGAGAGTTCTAGGAATGTATACGTGTACTGGGACACTTCCCAGGGACACTGAGCTGCCTACAAAGGCCTGATTAAAATGAACAGTTCTAGCAGGGAATTTACAACGGGCATATTCCAAAACATTTCAACAATCTCATGCTTTCTAGTGGCATACTGCAAAGGTGGGTGCTGTGAATTTAGTAAACGCCCCCACAAAGCAAATAAGATGAAATCCTTTCATAACAATGAATCACTATATTCATCTATAAAACAACAGAGTGCTGTTACATTTACTAAAACTTTTACTGATATGTTAAGATTACATTTGCAGATTTAAGACATAAAGATCCAAATTTAACCAGAGTAAAACACAAAAAACCTTAGCCTCACTGTACCTTTCCTTAAGCCCCAATACTGAGCAAACTCTTTGTTCAGCCAGCTTTTTCTGTCTTTTCCCTCCAACCTGTAACAGCTGCTGACCCATTTTAGAAAAACACTAAAGTCCACATCCTTCAACAACAATACAATATATTCTTTTATATTCTGAGAGCTTTGGCGAAAGCTTTATGAACTAAAACCCTAAAAATAGCATCACAGTAAACATCTGCATAGCATTAAAAATATTACTAATATAAAAAGTACCATGCTTATATTTCACAGCTCTTTTTATAAATCTAAACAGTATGTCCCCTGAGAAAACCAACATTTCAAAGAAATTCCTCTTAACCAAACAATAGGAAAACAGCCATATTTCAAAATATATTGGTTCAGATTCAGAACAGATGACTCTTTCGACACACACACACACACATATATATATTAGTGCTGTCATGCGATTAAAAAAATTGAGAGATTAATTAATTATGATCTGTAATTAATTAATCTAATTAATCTCATTTTAATCTCACCTAAAAATTGCTGAGAAAAGCCTTCAATTTGAGGTATTTTCATTTAAATTCATTATTACATTATTGTGGCAGATCAAAAGACTGATATAGATTAAAAAAAGTGACTTTATAAAGTAATTTATTGTTTAACAAATCTCTCCAAATTGGCTGTTGAGCCCAAGTCTCCATGAATAAGAAACTGTTTGCTGTAAAGTAGCAAAGATGAGGAAATCTGAACATAATAACTTTTGTCTACTTAAAGACAATAAAAAGTCCAGTCTTTCCTTAACCATATTAAAAATATTATTAATAGAGAAATGCTTTATATATGAGATCACTGGTTTTAGTCCTTGTTTTAGTCCTGGTTTAGACCTGCTTTAGTCCTAGTTTAGTCCTAGTGTTAGTTCTGGTTTAGTCCTGGTTTAAGTCCTGGTTTAGTCCTGGTTTAGACCTGGTTTAGACCTGGTTTAGACCTGGTTTTAGTTCTGGTTTTAGTTCTGGTTTAGTCCTGGTTTAGACCTGGTTTTAGTCTTGGTGTTAGTTCTGGTTTAGAGGCGCACAGGAGGAAGCGCAGTTTACGCAGCGTACGCGAGAAAACACGGTCCACACGCGGCGCACGGGAGCATGTCGGTGTCCGCGCATTAACTACGGAAGGAAACGTGGTCCGCGCGTTCTAAGGTTAATGACGATGATGAGGGTGTGTGTTTGTTTGTGTTTGTTTGTGTGTGTGTCCCCTCATGTGGCAGGTCACTATAGGACAGTAGTGCAGACATCATGAGCCTATGCAGGTTGTTTTCACCAGTGACATTTAAGTTGTAGGCGATATTATATTTGTTATTTTCTTTTATATTTCACGTCGGGAGAATAATTTCCAAGACACGAATGCGTTTTTACCTGTGCACCGCTGACTCTGTTGTACTGGCTCTTCGACCTCGTCCAACGTTAACATGCCGTTTACATCGCTGTTACTGCGCGCGTTTTGTGCGGGTTTCCGGCAATGAGTGGAATTACCGAAATACAAAAATTTATAAATGTGTTTTTTGTGTGTGTGTTTGTGTTGTTGTTGTCCCAACAACACATAAAAACAGGTTTTATAATAAAGCAACTCGCATACAGAAACACTAAAGTTAGAGATTAAAAATTAGATTAACGCGATTAAAAAACATAACGCGCTAAATATGACTGTAATTAATTAATCGCAATTAACGCGATAATTTGACACCCCTAATATATATATATATATAGCTAGTAAGACACTAGGTTGAATAAATAACTTATATCACTAATTCTAGATACTAGTAAACTACTAAAGTGTTTCATTCTGCTATTTATTTCATTTCGTGTTCATGAACCATATTATATATTTAAAGTATTTTTTGCTGAGGTAATTCTGCTTAAGGGTTGCTGTGTCAGTGGCATAAATTTGTTTAAATGTTTTATTGTTTATAGTGTATATTTTCCTAAGCATCATGACAGGCCTAACTGTGACAGTATTTTCTGTTGTGCTTATATGACACACTTATACCCAGCATGCATCTTTTCATTGGCAAGCCAGCAACAATATAGTCATATGGCTGTCCCACAGCACAGTAATACCTTGGCAGGCCCTGAATAGGGAGCTGCAGTGGAAAACTAAATAGAACGTATAATATGGGGATTAAATAACTATGTAGGAGGGACAATGGAGATGACCCCTGCTTTCTGCACTCCCCTTAGGAAGTTGTTGGCAGCAGAGTGTTACAATAAGCTTTTCCTCATGCTGGCAGCTGATGTTTCCCATGTCATTTGTCTATGGACTAAGAGAAAGACAAAAAATTTAAAAAAAATAATAAAGCATTTTTGGTTAAAATTTGAATTACAAAAAAACAAAAAACTGATAAATAAAAAAAAATCTTGACATGAAAAGAAATGTCCTAAATAACCAGAACAGTTATTATTTGTCCAGCTAGTTGCCCAGTGCAGCCACATTACCATGTGTGTCTTACATATATAGGAACTAGAGCCCGACCGATATGGATTTTGTTGTGGCCGATATGAAACAATATTATATACAATACAATACAATACAATACAATGATATAATGAGAGTTGGAGCTGCTGATAGCCGATATAATCGCCGATATATTTAGTGATGTAAAAATTCACTATAAATCTTGAATTGTTTAAAAAACTTAGGTTTGGCTCTAATGGATTCTAAATTGGGTTTATTTAGGCAACATTTATTGTTATTCTGCCTCTTTACATCATATTTACATACAGTAGATTGGCCTAATGGCATTTTTGCATCACATTCTAGCTACTAGTGATGGGTATTCCAGTTTTTTTTTTTGGAGAACCGGCTCTTTTGGCTCGGTTCACTAAAGCAGCTGGCTCTTTCGGCTCCCAAGCAACTCTTGAGATTGTTTTGTTGCAAGCAGGACTAAACCAAAACTGAGCCAATAATATCGGCCAGCCGATATATCGGTCGGGCTCTAATAGGAACATTAAACTTCTATATGATTTTCCAGCTTTCAGCCATGAGGAGAGCTTTTTATACAACATATAAATAAAAAAAATAATCAAATATAATTAAATGCACTACCAATCGAGAATTACCAAAATATTTCATGTAAAAGTTTCCTGTCTCACAAATCAGCATAAGCTTACTTAGTTTAATACTTAACTCAGAGTCAGGCATGTCTCAAAGTTTATTCCAGGTTTATTCACCTTTAGTTTATCAGTGGGCAAAAGTCACCACCAGTGAAGCCAAAGCAAATTTATGTTATTTTGTGACGTCTTCTTCTTAACTGACAAAACCTGTTCCCTCCATATTCAGAAAGACAGTGGTGAGGAGGAGAAAACTGAACAAGAAGTTGGGCCTTGGTGGCGTGAGAAAGGCCTGTATTCTCTGCCTGCTGATTGGCTACAAGGGCAGAGGAGGGCCCAGACCCAAAGACTAGAGGGATTTACTGGGCTTTGCTCCTTCCTCTGTGGAGGGGGAGTATGTTGTTAACCACTGCCCTCGCTGCTATCCACCCCTGCCCCCCTCCTGGGTACAGCAACATGACTGACTTTAAACAATGACAAGAACCCACCTCCCCCCCCCAGTAAAAATGAAATCAAGCCATTATTAAGCATTTTATTGCTAGGTCTTTTTCTTGGCTACTGAAATGCTAATCTGTACATTTTGAGCAACACGAAAGTCTTTGGGATCCTCCCTTGTCTGCATCACTGTATGCTGCCATGTGAGCACCTTTAGTCATCGTTGTCATGGAGAAGGTGCTCATGATAATCAAGTCGGACAAAGGGCATAGTTGACCGAGGTCCTGTAGCAACTGGAGGGCATAGACAGATACCCTTCTTGTGTGGGCCAAAAGCACATTGGGCCGCAGCAAGAGATGATAACTCAATCCAAACATCAAGCAGTCCTTACCATCAACCCAGTGACAGGCCATGACACCCACTGCCATTGGTCACTGTGTGTGGGCTAGGGGACTACAGCCACATGGATAGTGTTATATATAAAATAAATACAATTTTAAAATAAACTCCACTGAAATGTAATCAAATGAATCAGTTAAATGATCCAGAGGATATTGTTTTTCATTATGAACCATTCCAGAGTGTACCCATTCATAATTACTGCCTAATTTAAAAACATATAGACCTACTATATTTCCACAGACTGCGAAGCACATAAAAGGCAGACTAGCTAACCGGTATGAAAAGAGGGAGTGTCTCCTTAGGCATTAACAAGTGTTAAAACTGCTCCAAGCAGACAGCTTTCACTCCTCTGGGCTCAAAGAGGATAACATTGCATTGGTGTAAAAGAACTGTAAATTAGCATGATTCAAATGCATGCCACCCTGCTAGGTGCATGTCCTTGTAAGAACATTTACATGTTAAACACAAGTTAAACTGGAAAAAAAAACAATGGTAACATGCAGCCTTTTGTTGTTGATAAATTATTAATTTGAGTAACTCTGATGACAGAGAAAGTGCTTACATGCTAAGGCTTATTCAAACATCTGTTCCCATTCACTGCCTCAACCACCAAGAATGCGGTAAACGCAAGAACCATAACTGAACACAGAAGAAGAGAGGCCTTTAAGCTCCAACAAAGAAACATGAAGCAATGACACAGCATTCACAATTTAACTGTATCTAGAAAACCTTCTAGAACAATCAGGAAATGGCTCAATTATCTCAAAACACAGGGACATGCATAGACATTTTGTGGGGTCTGTGCTCTTCCACGAAGAAGAACTTTTCTATATTGCTTAAAAAGGGGGTATTGCACTTCTATGGGATATTAACTGCTATCAAATGACGATGAATGGCGTGCGTGTGCGTGTGTGTGGCTGGTCGGAGGGGGCTGATGGCGCAGATTGGCTGTCTCACTTTGGTCAGTTTGCCCTGGGGCAGCTGTGGCTACAATAGCTTACCACCACTTAGAAGGGATCAAATGAATAATGCATGCATTGTTAAGTAAATCTGAGCATCTGGAAAAAGTATAAGACTAATGCCTTAACAACAACAACAACAATAATAAGGTTCACTTTTATTTTTGACATCCCCGTCCCTTTGCTTTCTGTGCTAAGTCACTCCCCCTTTAGAGGGCCTGGGAAAGATCACTAGATTACTCAAACAAATCAAAAATCTAAAATCTACAGGCATGTTTTAATGAGGGAACAATGTTATAGCATGGTAGAAAGCTCGAGAAAGTCAATGTTGCATTATACCCATTTAAAACCCCTTTAAACTTACTTAAATGAGTTTAAAGTGTGTGTGAGTTTTCCCTCATTAAATGGGGTATTATAGGTGAACAGATTTTTTGCAGTCTTACGTAAACAAAACAATCACACTGCTATAGTTTACTTCTCTCAAAATTCAAACTAGTCCATATTTTTAGACTGTAACAACTACTGTGCTCCACCCCTGATCTCTGCTTCAGCACAGCCACTTTGTGAGCTGCAGTCTCACACTGGGCTGTGGACAGATCACTTCAGACAACAGTCCAGTCTAAAACAGGGCTTATGTGTTATGTGTTGTTTTATGAGGAACAGATTTTTTTCTGATTAAAAACATACCAGTACTAGTATAATAGTAAAAAAACATACTAGAACTAGCATGATTTGACCATGGGAGCAGAGCACTCAAAGGGCACAGGCGGGTGCTAAAGGTAAAGTGCTTGAGCACCACTTTATCTGGTGCACCAGATGGATCCCTCTACTGCATACCATTGTATGTCTGTACACTACGAGCGTATATATGCATGTGAACCAGAGCGCAAACAAACAAGCACATGTAGTTCTCGATCATATCTATGAACTCAATAGCACATATACTTTTGAGCATTACAGGTCATTTATTTTAATTCAGACACATGAAGGCATCATAACCCATTTGTATCCCACTCCATTATCTTATATGTGCTCTATAAAGATAACACTGGTCCTGCTACTATAAGGGCATTTATAAACAACTTGCCTGTGCCAAGCACCATCGTTGGGACAAGGAACTCTTACCTTGAAGGCCAGTGTCACAGAGTCCACTTCCTGAGCCCTAGGTATACATAACTGAGGTGAAACAACTAGCCTGACACTAACTGAGGCAGTGCAGTCAGTGCAGAACAGCCAGTGCAGTGCCTCAGAGAGGATGACAGGGTCATACCTATAGACAGGCTTGTATAGTCAGGAACAATACTTTATCTGAAAGTGGGACATCAGGGAAGAGGCTCATGCAGGGTGTCAGTGGCATTATGCCAGGACCCCCACTTACAAAGCAACTCAAGCAGAGCACCATGAACATAACAGAATACACATGTCTGAGCCTCAGCTCCAGTCTTGTAGGTTCATCTTGGCCATAAGACAATACTATACTGTACCCTGTGGTATCATCTGTTGCCACCAGTGCTGCAGCATGTCAATGACTCATGTGATAAAGGCAGCACCACCACAGTAGCAGAAGTTAGTCTTTAGCTGCTCAGCGTAATTGCAACCTGAATGCATGGTTTGGAAATGACAGGCAATTAGGGCTTCAGACAGTAAGATGCTGAAGAGTACACTTTCTTCTGAGATGGGTAACTGGGACACACATCAAAGATCCTTTCCAGACAAAAGAACGTGTTTACAACATGCACTTCTTTGACTGTAAGTGAATTCATGATCATCGTAAACATAACAGGTGGTATTTACTCTAACTAAAAAGGAATGATACATTCTAATTAGTGACATCAGATGACACCCAGATTTAAGTTTTAACATACACATATAACTAATTTTATTCTTTGCTGCCATGCTTCTTGTTTTGTTTTTACAATGATGAATATCAAAAGAACTGCTAGGGGATTTCCATATTGCCATATGAAGACTAGAGAAGTACCAAAGAAATTAAAGCAGACTTCTTTTGCTTTGTAAATCTGCATGGGCACTTGTAAACAAAGTCTGTAGTGAGTAATTAACTTGAACTAGAGATAATGACGTAATTATAGTTGCATGCTGCTCTTACATTAACACACACGGTCAGGCATGTAGCTGCTCAAGTAAAGATGGCTTAGACTATCTTATAAACTACTTCAGTAAAAGGTGAAGGTTATTCAAATCTTGGAGACAGTTTTGGAGACAGATTGAAAGATTAATTGTTCAACACAAATGGACACAGAAGCAGAGAATATTTTCCACAACTGGTTTCCACAGCAGTCTGCCTTAATGCAGAAACAAAAATATGTATGAATGAAGAGTCTAGATAAAAAAGTCCAGGATCTTTTCCTTTGCTCTACTGTAAGTAAGGAAGTATTTTGTATGTAAGTATGTCTGGCTCCTCAGACCTAAATGTGCTTTTTATCTGACTATGCCATAAACAGTCAGATAAAATTTTTTACTTTTAACTAAGTTTGATTTCATTAAGCTGGTCACAAATATATTAGGCAATGTGAATAAAAGAAAATTCAGGATTTTTTGAGTCAATAACTAATAAATAATCGTAAAATTATTTCATGGTTATAATAATTGTTACACCAAAATTCCAAATCATTACATCCCTTATCTGTGGTGGCTTTAGTAGCCTACTTTCTCACCTCAAATGTTATTCTATTATTTTGTGTGTACTACAACAGAAGCTTAATATTGTATTTTGTGCCCATGTCATGTCGATGAAATGGCAGATATCCCTGATGTGACAATCCCAAAAGGAAAAGGCCTGAAAGAACTTGTATGTTTATATTTCCCTCTGAGGATGACTCAAGGGTTTAGACAAGGAGAAGAGGCCAGACTTTTCTTTGCTTAATATCTTTCCTCTTAAATAATGCCTTACAAATCCATGCTTGATAGCCTCATTACAATGTCGTACTCTGGCCTTTTAAACATTTTTCTCCTAAATCCTGTGTGAAGATTAAATAGTGTTTCTAGAAGCAATAAAAAAGCCCTTACAGCAAGGTGTCAACTGCTAGTTTCTACATGCTACTATTGAGGTAATACTTGCAGCATGACAGATGAAGGCGTACGCATAGACAGTAGAATCACCATTAGCGCCAACATATATACAGACAAAACCTTTTAGCAGCAGGTTTATAGATGGATGAGCACAGAAGTGAGAACGATATTTGTCAGGGTTTGACTCCAACACACATTCTCTGTTCAAGAGACCAGACAAGAGTGAGGGCTCAGACTAAACACAACTGCATAATTAGACATGTAATTCACCATGGAAGGCAGTCCTTGTACTGTGGACTGCGATGTCTTAAAGAAACCACAACCTTCTCTGTCTATTCAGGGTGTGGGCATTCATTTGGTAAAATGAGTAAAATGAATCTGATGTATAATGCCTCATACCTCATGTTAATAATGGGAAAGGCTGACTTTTATTATTTGAATTTGAAAACCAGGGTAAATGCACAACACTTACAGATGTCTGGGGATTCGTCTGAACCATCTGGACAGTCCTTCTCGCCATCACAGCGCCAGCCTTTGGAGATGCAGGTCACCTGATCCTTGCACACAAACTGCTTCGAGCTGCAGGTTTTGGGCTGCTCCTCAGTCTTGGGGGCTAAAAAATGGCAAACAAACGAGCGTTGTCACAAAATGTCTAGGAAGGTTTTACGTCGCATTACAAAGATACAAAAGACACAAAGTTACAAAAGACAGGAAATTTCCATCTTGTGGTGGATTAGGTCTTAACTCACAAGGATTCAGGAACATGTAAAGGTCAAAGTAAGTTTACAGTGATGTTTTTGTATTAAAAAGCCTACAGAGTTCTTTCAGAAAAAAAACCCAAAAAAAAAAAAAAAACTCCATGACAAGTTTACAAGCAACAGTGGTGCCTTTTAGTTTTGCCTACGTTTGTAATTTCCTCTTTTCTTCCAGATGTTTTGGGTCTTTCTGCATTTGTTATTACTGCAAAGGTGATTTAAACTTATACCACAAAGACTACTCTTTCATGTCTCACAACACAAACGCATTCCCACTGAAGTCACACCATGGGAAAAAGACCATTTCTCAGCAGACAGCAGAGACAGATTGTTGAGGTGTACCACAGGCTAACTGCACCATAGCAAGGCCCAAGAGCCAGCAGCAATTAGAGTATAGACACAATCAGGATTTAAGTTAAGTCAGACACAGAGGTCTCAACAGAATATGAAAATAAGACAATGTTTTGAGGGTTTCAGGCAGATAGGTTTGCAATTTTACAGATGTGACAGAAGGCTAGGTAAGACTAAAACAGTACCAACATTCATTTGCAATGGGTTATATACAATCATCAATCAATCAATCAATCTATATTATATTATATTATTATATAATATACAATACAATTTAACATTAACATAATTTAACACTCAAACTAGTAAACCAATTCATTTCTTTGTACGGTTATTCTGCTGAAGTTAAGTGCGTAATTCTCATTGTGATTCTGTGCAGTAAGAGAGCCCTCCTTGGACGCCTCTTGGTACTTGGCAGGCGAGGAGGTGTTTGGTCTGGGAGGTGGAGGTGGAAGGGGGCACACCGCACAGGGGCTGAGATGTGACTGAAATTACAACAGAGCAGCAGGCTACAGCCATATTGCACTCAGAGACAAGAGTTTAGCGCTTGGCCTTGTATGACAACAAGACATATGCTCAAATTAACAGTGAATAATGAATTGATATTCTAATTCTATACTTATTCAATCCACATCTTTATCTGGGAAATCATGCCAACAACTATATCACTGATCTAAAAGTTTCACTCTACAACTTGGTATTGGTAAAAGAAAGTTCTAAATCTTACCTGCATTAAAAATAGAAAAACAAAACAAAATAACAACAAGCACACAGACAACTGAATAGTGAAAGACTGAAAGGAAGCCTGGCCATGGCCCTGGTCCAGCCTGTTAGCTGTGCTGCCACTGAGATTACCAATGTGACTGCCCATTTGGTGAAGCAGTAAATACACTTGATTCAGTTCAGCTCATATGTAGCCATTAAATCCACTTTCACAATAAGCAGCAAAACAGCAAAAGGCAAGTCATGTGCAATATGGACAAAAATTAATATCTTGATAGTTTTGCATTATCTAGATAGTGATTTCAGATGATATTTTTACAATGCATGAGGAATGTGTTAAAATGTGCCTGTAAATATATTTTAACATCTCTTTTTGGTGTTGTTTTGAATAGTTTTAAATAATTATAGACTATAAACTCAATATTGTAAGAGCTCCAAAACCACAAACAATATACATTTTTCAATACATCTCATATATCTACAACTAAATGAAGGCTTTAAAACTGTCTATGGCTTCTGTTTCTATGTACAGCATGTTGTCTGAGTCCCACTTATTCCCTATGAGTGGCATACAACTGGAAATACAACATTGTGGCTTCTAATTTTGTCTTCCCTACACACCAGTGAAAAGTGGCCACAGAGAGGAGAACCTCACAGCCTAATTGGAGGTTGTGGCTGAGGAGGGGTTAGAGTCTGGAGAGAGACTGGCAGCCTTCCTCAGTCAGCAGTCCTCTTTCAAAATGATAGAAACATCTCAAACAGAGGATGGAATTGTTAACTTGCTATGCATAGTAATTTTTCCTTTCTAAGTGTTCATTAATAGTAGGTTAATTTCAAATTTCGTTCGGAGCACTGCTTCACTTGAGCTGAGTCAATAATACAAACAAGGACATAAAATTAGATCACCATCCTGAAAACTTTTCCACACTGCTAATGCCACAAAACTGAATGTAGTGACTACTTGTAGAAGATAACACTGGGTTATGCAGTATTTTTGGAGAAGAGTTGACATTTCTGTATATCCAAAAAGCAAACAGCCAAAAGTATCTCTGTGAACACAGAGGACAGACCATAAATGACGCAGTGGGAACACTCAGAGGCCAAATGATAGAGGGCTCCAGACAGCGTCACCAGCTGGGACATAACACTGACCCAGTTTTACTGCGATCTGCCTCTCCCTCAGTACGGCCATCTCAACACAAATCAACTCCAGATCCATGCAGTACATTCCAGCACCTTCTAATTGATTTCATATGTGCTGTGCTCCCTCAAGAGTCAATCTATTGCAGATGAACAAATGCACACAAAGAACTATATCTTTCACATACTTGTGGAGAACACAAAAGTCTGGTGGGGTACATCAGTACTTTTCCATATAAAGATGTCCAAGACCAACATGGAGTTATAAATGAGAGGAGTACTGAATTGATTTAACCAAAGTAAAAAAAAAAAAAATGCAAAAGGGAATAAATACTTACATCATATGAATAATAATCAACCTTGTTGCATGGTTAAGCACAGCAGAGAATTAGCAACAAGAGAAAGACAGGCTCAGTTTTGGAGTATGGGATTGGTTTAGATCACATATCACATCTCCCTTTGCTGGCCCTCCTTTTAACAGAGATCAAAAAACACTCTGGGGGATGTAATGTAATCCATGTTGTAAAGTTTGAGTTTAGCATGATTTCAAAGCAAAATTTTAGATTTAATCATTCAGGTTTTATCATTCGTTTTAGAGTCACTGCTTACTATCTTTTTCCATTGCTCTCACAGGGCCCACCAGACATTTTCTGTAGCTTTACACTACCTTGCCCCAATAATGAGTTGTAGTCCAGTAAGACAACAAAGGAATAAACAAGCATTGCATACCAATCAAAACTATGTATCATCAAAAGGAAAAACATATTTAGCTATTTGGAATAAAAGCCTATTTTATTTTAGGTTTTGCAGGTTTAGCAGTTGACATTTGAGGTAACCTGGTGAGCCTCTGCATGTAGTCCCAGACCAGTCATGGTAAAAGACTTTAGACGAATGCATATATTGTTAGCCACCAAGTGGCACATTTTTCCACCCACTTTGTAGTCTAAGCAGAGCACTGCTTATAAAAGGAAAAGCAAAGATTCAGCTGTTATGAAAACACAAAATAGGAGCCATCAAATAAAGGCTGGACCACATAAATTCCTACACTCACTACAACAGATTCAGCAGTAAACCCTGTCTGGGCAACTCTCCTGTGAACTTCCTAGGAACAAACACAAGACTACAGGAGGAAGGTACGATTATAGGACTCTACACCAGAGGATTTGTTTAGGTTTAGATATAATAATTTCTGGCGATTTAATATGTGACTTCATGCAATTACTCATTGGAGTCACTTAAAAGCACACAGGAGGAGGGAATGTGTATGGCGTTGTCACTACTGAGAATGACTCATAGACAAAAGCACAAATGAGTAGCTATCCTCTTCACATCTTCCAGCACACATCTCACCAGTGGGGTACAACAAATAGACCCAACTTTACACCCACGTGCTGTTGATGCTTTTTTGCTTTTAATAAAATGAGAACATAATTGCCTTTAAGCTCAAAAGCTTTGTTGGGTTTTGCAAATGATCAATTGTAGTACCCACCATAAAGAATAAGTAATAGGTAATCAAACCAAGACAAAATATCCATTATAGGATCAAATACAGAGACATGCATCTATCACATGTGGAAGAGGCTGTGAGTGGGCACAAAATAATACACTTTTATCATATTTTGATAAAAACCTGCAAGCGGACCCACTGCAGGGTGGCCACTGGCCAGACTGAAGCGCCAGAAGTTCTCCATTGATGTCCAAGTAAAACAGAAACCATAAAGCCAGTATTCTCACAGTTGTGCCAGGTGTCAGGCAAACGTTGCAACCCCCTGCAAAATTTGAACACCCATGTGTGCTCTTTTTATAATGTTCATGGAAAATGCCTCTTGATTCACAGTCTGAAATTACACATGAGTTGAAAGTGTTTTGATTTATTTTTTTCCCCACATGGCACAAATATTGCAAAAATAAATTAACAAATAAGCAACGAGTGATAATTTAAGGTGTGGAGGAGCCCAAGTCAAAGCTTAAAGGTCCTATATTATGCAAAATTGACTCTTTCAGCAATACTAGAATGCTGTTATCTTATCAAAAACACATCCAAAGTAGTGTTTTGTTTCATTTACACAAGTTTGTGTAACTCTTTATTATTAGTCTGTTGACATCTCCAAAGATCTGTTCCACCTTGAAATGTCATGAAGCAGTAGTTTTCACACTAACAGCTTCCTTTTACATTTTGTCAGCAGAGATGGGCAATTCCAGGACTGAAATTATCCACATAATTCTAATGAAGGTGTAAAGAGTTTAAAAACACAACAGAGAACTTCCTGTATAAGCCCACATGAAATCACAAGGTGGGACAGAGTGTTTTTTGTTTGAGAGAAAAACTCACTCTAAATATGCATATAATATGATGTATGTTAAACATGTGTGAATGAAACAAAACACAACTCTGTGGGTTTTTGAAGAGGAAACAATATTAGTACATAGATCACAGACCCCCAGTAGTCTTGGGAGCTAAGGACAACTGAAAAACCATACTTCAAATGAAATCTAATGTCTCCAAAAGACAAAGTATGTAATTCTGATCAAACCGATATATTTTTGTCCCACTGTCTGCTTCTGTCATGTTAAATCAGTGGACCAATAGAAATATACAACATAATAGCTTGCATTTACTGGTAGAAATTCAATAGGCCATTTAGGCCTATTTAGGCCATTTGTACACCTAGTATCTTTACATGCCTTCAAAGGAAAAATAATGTCATCTGCTTCTTCTGAAAGTTTACATTCACTATGCTTGGTTAAATCCACCTGTCACTCACTCAGATACTAACCAACAAGAGAAGTGGGTGGGTAAAGTGTGTTTGACCTTACAGCTCAAAAAGAAAAAGTGAATCCCAATATGACGATATCAACAAAATAACAGATTGTCATATGACATCACGATTTGATTTTCATCACCATATTGCCCAGACATGTTCTGATACAGCTCAAGATTATTCTAACGCTACTCAGGATCCTTGCTCAAATGACTATTTAGTTTCAGCACTAGTAATAGTATTGATTAGTATCTGATATGCAGTACTTTGGACAGCCTCATTGTCAAGCCCTACTTAAAATGACAGAAAAAGAGCATCCATAGGAATGGATGAAGAATTTGGATGATGACTGTATTTTTCCAAAGTAGATGTTCTGAGTGATAGAGTCAGAAAAATTAGGCAAAAGGTAAGTAAACATATAGCCAGGCCCCATAATATAGAAGCCAAATGTCAGCACGAATTTTTCTCACTTTGACTGTAGAATAAAAACAAGAAAAAGTGGAATACATTGAAAACAATTTCATTTAGCCAAATCCTGGTGCACAAGTATCTAACATTTGAATTAACCAATAAAAAAAAATGTACTTAAAAGTGTCTCTCCTCTGAGTGCTTCGTAGCACAGGCTGACTGCTGATGCTGAGACAGTCATTTGGGACTGACCATTATATACCTTTTGACCACCAATAAACCAACATGACACTAGTTTTGTCCAACCAGAACTCCTTATGATTTAACTGTGTCAGAGGGACTTCAGTCTCTGCCCTGAGTGAAGTTTATTCTCGCTTCACCCGCCCTCACCCCTGGCTCTCTGGCTCAAGCCCCCTCCTCCCCCATCTCCTCCCCTTTGCAGTCACATCTAAGTTGGATTAATGGTCTTCCTGTGTCCAGATGTTGCATACTGATGAAGCCAGTGGGAGGGGCAGGGTAGCTCATGAGGCCACGCTCTGGAAATACCTCACTTTTAAAACTCATGTTTAAAAAATGAACAGTTTTCTACAGTGTGACAGCATTCACCATCTATAGACTATAACTTCCTAAACTAAGAAAAAAAGGCTTAAAAGAGGCAATGTCTACAATTTAGACATTAGAAGAAGGAAAATATACCTTAGAAACTATATTAGAGAGTAGCTAGATATTAAGATATCTATATCAAGAAAATGCATATAAATATCAAAGAACTAGGCCGAAAAGGACTCACAGCACGCCTCCTCGAAGCAAGTCTTTAATGCGCTGCCCAAAACATGTGAGGTTTTCTATATATCATTATTACTTTCGGTGGTTAAGTAGAATGCAGGGGTTAAAGGGAGATAAGAAGCTGAAACTACTCTATTCGTCTATAACTGTCAAATACGCTGAGCTATTAGTCCCTGGCACTGACACAGGTCTGGGCAAACAGCAGCATTCATATCGTCGCTGCAAACACCGTGTCTTCACACAAACTGATCTGAATGAGGGATCAGAGAATTTCCTGAGGGGATACAGCGACACGGTTTGTGAATGGAGATGGTTGTTGACGGACGCTGTATCACCGGTAAACACCATTGAGGGAGGGAACTACAGGCCTGTGCTGTTTTGTAGGAGTCAGTCTGAAATGCTACATAGAAACTGGGCCGAGTGTTGTTGCCTTTTATCCTACCTGCTGAATGTAAAAATACGGTCTCTCATCCTCAGCAGGCCTTACTGTCTGCCGATTGCATTGATAGGCCAAAAGCTTTGAGCTTGTGAGTGTCCTACTTTGTTTGTTATTAAAGGCTTTCTGGTGCTCGAGTCTAATGTGATGAAACCAAGTGTGTTTTCCTCAGGACAACTAATTTGCAGGCCACAGATGCGTACAGACTAAGCGGTTAAGAGTATCACAATGCGAGGTAGAACAACAGGCTTCTTACCTACGGTTACGCCGTTAGAAGATAGGATCCCGATGAACAGTAGAAATCCTAAGAGGACCAACCTCATCGCCATCTCCTGAGCAATGCCCGATGGCACTGCCGTTAGAAAGAAAAGGGTGAAAGTTAGCTGGTTTTCTTGAAGCAAACAATCTAGGCAGACACCTCATCCGAACCCCTTTTTCTTCTTGGTCCGGGGGTCGCGATTGTGCGTACAGTTGCTCACGGAGCCCGCACAGAGAACGCAACACTCGGGTTCGTGCGATTAAAGACGCTACAGCCTTTCAAGGCTATAGTTAATGCAGCTGCACATTCATGTATATTTCTAATTGATTCTTAGCATTCAAACATGATGCACAACGAAGCAGTTGAACGTGTATCTCCAGACAAGTCTTCTAGCACCACACCATGCCACCTGAGTCAACAGAGAAACCCTTTATCCACGGCTGCGCATGCCCTCAGCTCATTACGCATAAAATTCTAAAATTAAAATTAAAAAGTAAAAGCTGTTTCCCTCGCGTTGCCAGTGCCTCTCTCTGCTTGCGGCTGCATGAGTGGTTGGGTGAATCTTACTCAAGCACCCCCCAGTACAGAGGCAACTGTGACGTCAAAAGTGAACATTTACGCATGCGCGTTTTTCCTCCAATTTCATGCGCCTTTTTTTTAATCATGCTTTTTCACTAGCAGTAGAGTCTGGTGGAGAAGAATGAGGTTGCCCCTGGGAACTCACCTCAGCCATGTTGCCTCAGGTTGTTTTTATTTTCTGGAAAATACAAATTAACGCAGGACCCTATGCACAATTGCTCAGCAGTTTGTTTCAAGTTAGATTTGCCGTTGAGCTGCTAAGCCAGATCTAAAGGTCCCCTGACAGACGCTTATTTGTTGTCAAATACTACCCCCTTGTGGTGAAACAGTTTTATCAGGCAAATTAAAAGGTAAGAATGGCTGATGACTGTCCGCAGAGGGCGCTGAATGCCCAGAAGTACAGGAGGCTTATCTGAAAACGCCAAGAGTAAACTGCGACTAAACTGAAATAAATTAGCACACGATTGAAAATAGCTCTACGTTTAAATTAATACTAATACTAGTACCACATTTTAAGAGGCAGAATCACTACGTTTGTTCTACTTTGTTTTGATTTTATAACCTGACTACATCATGGACATTTTGGTCATCCGGATAGAGACACTAGCCTGCTGTGTGGGAGAAGACTTGAAAAAGCGCCAGCATAAACAGTCCCTGACCACATGTTGTCCCAGGGCAGCAGACTGGCCAGGTTCCAAGCACATCTGCACACAATCCCTGCTCACCAAATTCTAAACCAACCAAGATGCAGGCTGGGAAATCGATGCAAGAAAGTGTTCTGGCGTAGTTATAAGTATTGGCCGTGTGTGTGCGCGCGCGTGCGTGTGTTTTGTATGTGTGGTTTTCAAATGGTACTGGGCAAGCTATGCAGACAACACCTGTGGAATGTGGAGCATGCACTGGGAGTTCTTATACCCCCCATCACTGCCCCATCTGCAGACCTCCCCCGTGAATACCCTCTCACACTAGATAGACTGAACATACTGGTGGTTAAAATGGGCTTCTATATTATGTTTTCTCTTCTAAATTGCCACAAAGCATGTTTAACCAGTTCCTGGCTTGGCACATGTACACTGACGGATGTACAGAAGTGGCTACTCTGATCCTTCAGCCTATCTGACCAAAAACACATACATAGACTAAACTAGTCTCTTGATGGCCTAGGTGACAGTGTAATTTACTGTATAGAATATTCTTATGCAACTCATTGTCTCACAAGGGCCCCAAATGCAGTGCATTCCTTGCCTAATATATATATATATATATATATATATATATATATATATATATATATATATATATATATATATATATATATATATATGTAACATTGTGGAGTCTAGTTATACAGACCTGAGAAACTGATGAATAACCTATAATCTTTACAAGAAAAACGGATTTGTTTTGCGCATCAGTACTAACTACAAACATTTAACACCCACTCCGCGTGTTAAGCGCATCCAGAGTGTTGCTGGGAAGAGCGGCTCCAAACACTACTGCTGTTCCTAAGTGAGTTCCTGGCTGAATTTCACTGGCTGACGTCAGCTGACTGCCTTGGCTCTCCGCTGCTCCGGACACAACGCTGCGTAAAAATGCTGCTCTCAGTGCCGCCAAGGACAGGAATTAGCCAGTACAACGGCTACATCGGCAGAAACCCAAAGAAGGTAACGCTACATCTTATTGTAATTTCTTTTTGCAAGACCAGCTTTTTTCACTCTAAGATTTTGTTTGTAATTGTCATGTTCAAAGCCCGAGTGCTTAAGCTGAAATGTCCTTGAGAGTATATAACAGCCGACGTTTAAAGTCACTTTAATGTTGGTATTATAACCTCTGGTGAAAGTTTTTATTATAGTCGTCATGGTATTGCAAATGATCACGCCTTGGCTATTTTATCATGTGCTTCTGCAGTTTGTAGAGTGTGCGCGTAACCGGCGCTGTGTTTCCCCAGACCTATCCGTAACAGCGTGCCTTAGGATTCTAAAGATGATGCTCCAAACACCAACTATTAAAAAAGTTTGTCTTGTACATTCAATTTTTGCACCTTTGTATTTTCTCCATATATCGTCACTTGATATTCACTAAATAGCTACAGCATAGGCAAGGCGGTGTAAGTAAAGTTCCCCTATTTTACGTTACGCGTACATACTGGCCCCACCCCTTCAGCCTCCAAGCCTCCAGTGTTAATAATGATGATGAATAGATAATACAGCATATTTTTTTCTTTGTGCAGTTCTTGGCACCATTTTAAATCTTAAAGGTTAATCATTATATCAACCTATTTTAGATTAATGAATTTAAATTTTAAGGAATTTAATTTGCTAAATAAATTATGGCAAATCTTAATCCACTGCATATATGCCAACACCTCCCCTCTCCCCGGTGTTTTCCCCATCTTTACTTCATGGATGGCAGGAATTCAAATAGCTTAGCCTAAATTAATGACCTGGAATTCTTGACATTTTTCTGTCAGAGAAGGTGGCCATTTCAGCAGTCCCCCTATCCATGGGTTTCAGAATGATGAAAAATGAGTACTGTAAACAATAACAAAAAAACAAAAAAAAAGTTTTACCAAATGTTTAACTTTAAGAAGTATCCCATCTTTTGAACTGAAAAGTCTTCAAGATGTTGGCTATAACAAGAAGTTGGAACATGATTAACATATTTTATAAGTTTTTCCACAAAGTCACAGAAATACTTGTGAATCCAGCAGTGTGTAGCATCCTTGTCTTTAAAAGTTCTGTATTACCAAAATCAATTCTTGTGAGATTTTAGTCTTGTTTAAATGTTGCTACCTCATCAAAACATACCTGGAGTTGTGTTTTGTTTCATTCCATTCACATGTTTACTAACTTTATTATTAACCTGTCAATATCTGCTGTGCTCAAAATGCTATTTTCCACCTTGTGATGTCATGAAACAATAGTTGACAAGTTGACAATCTTCTTCTACCTTTTTGTTCAGTAGAGATTTGCATTTCCAGGGCTGAAATTTTCCAAATGATTCTTGTAAAGGTGTATGGAGTTTAAAAAAACACAGTGGAGCACATTTTGTTTTACCACATGATTTCACAAGGTGGAATAGAGTGTTTTCTATTTGAGAGAAGAACTCAAATGCAGGGTTTGTGTGTTAACCATGTGTGAATGAAGCAAAACACAACTCCAGGTCTGTTTTTGACAAGGAAACAACAGTATAACATAGATCTGAAAATAGCATAATATGGGCCCTTTAACTACGAGAAAGCAAACAGAAAAAAGAAATGGTCTCCCTCCTCCTGCTCCCCTCTGCTTTCGATTAACTCCCTCTGGCTCTGTTCCCTCTTGTATTCTCACATACCTGGATTTCTTGGCTGTCAGAGTCTTGGTTCACATAGACAGGAGCGAATTCCTGAGTGAAGACTTGATCAACTTTGGTACCACATTTTTTGAGTGATGCATTTATATATTTGTGCATGCTTATGTTTTTTTATTGGCAAAACTATCAATGATCAGAAAGAGGTGCTTTAAAAATCCCCTTTTGTTTTATGGTTTTTTGTTTTGATTTCCTCTATGGGCTATTTCAAGTTGTTTTCAGAAAGGTAGGATTTTGTCTGGATCAGAATTTAACTTATAATGTGCTCCTTTCATTTGGACTTTAATTACATTCTGTATATTTAAAATGTAGTTAAAGTCATTATATGTGTACTTTATAGTAAATCAAAAGATTTTGTAACAGTTATCGGTCTATGTTTTGAGCATATATTGAATTTAAATAAAATTTAGCTTCTAACAGGCATATATTTGGACTGATACAATCACAATTATCGATTAACCATAAAGGACAAATGAAGAGCGCATCATAACCATATTAAAATATTGGACATTAATAGGACAGAATGTAGAGGGAATCATGACCTTAATAAATTTTCATGATTTTGGCTCTTTGGAGCTAGTGCTAGTACTATTGCATACCTTATCATAGCAAACATAGCATATTAATGAAACACTGCCTTCTGATACAGAGCACATAGGATTAGCACTCAGCACTAACAAGCTCACAATCTAATTAGACAAGCCTGACCAGGTTCTGTCCATATTCTACATGGTCAGGCCGCTGCATCTTTGTTTTGTAAGAGGCTGCTGAACAGTGAATATCGGAGAATATTAAAAGTAAATGGATTCAAAAGAAGAGAAGAGTTTGACTGATTAGCTATTTAAAAGAAAAGTGTTAGACAACAACAATGAAATGCATTTTTTCACATCTATGATCAAATTATTATACTACATCAAATATGCAGTATTGTAAAGCAGGTGTCCCTGGTATTGTCCAAGCTCTTGTAAATTAAATGGGTAGCTATACTAGGTGTTCTTTGAGATATGTGACAGTGGAATTATTCATAAAAAAGGAGAAATCCAAGGAATGTTCTTTGCTAACAGAGATTATATTGTTATTGAATTTTAGTAATCTTAGTAACATCGAGACAAACTGACTTTTCACCTCTTTCTTTAATCTACAGTTTTCAAGGACATATTCATCAGAAAGTGCTGACACATCGGGGCTGTATTTTTCCTTGATGCACATATTTTTTCTACACGACTTCAACACAATACAAAGACATAGCAGTAAACAAACAAACAAACAAACAAACAAACAGACAAACAAACAAACTTTATAACATGTTAAATGCTTGTAATGTTATTTACTGTTCATGTAAGATAATTGGAAGACTTCATAAATGTTTATTTTTGTTAAATTGTTTAACAATTTGAACTGTTGAGCAATTTAAGTAGCTTGAGTCAATTAAATTGCTGTATTTGTCTGTGATCTTTCCCGCAGGCACTTATGTCCCCTTCCAACCATCACATGGCTTCTCCAAGCCCCAGTAATACCAACAGTGCGAGCTCCACTCCCCGCAGTAACAGCAGCAGCCTCAGCAGCAGTAACAGCAGTGGAGAGCAACTGAGCAAAACCAACCTGTACATAAGGGGACTGCATCCAGGCACCACCGATCAGGATCTAGTCAAGCTATGCCAGCCGCAAGTATCACCCAAATCAAGTTATCTCTTCTGAATAATTTAATAAATAAATGGAAATGTGGTTAGTTTAATGTGTCACAATCAAAATAATATATTTTTTAGGGTGAGGGTGATTTTCGTGCCAAATGCAGTCCATGTAGTCAAACATTATACAGCTGTATCGTCCAATTTACTGTGTCTGCCATGTTGCTTAGCTCTTCAGGGGAAGACATGAAACAAATATGGCTCAGATCAGAGTTCTGATTTTCCTAATTGAATACTGGAGGCCTGCAATGAGAACCAGGAGAATGTGAGAGACCAAGAGGGCTGGAGATGAAGGAGGAGAAATGGGAGTATCCTAGAATGAATTAGGGGCCAATGTAGGGAGAGGCCTTTGAATTTACAGCTGTCTGGAAGATATGGCTCACATGAGGCAAGCCCAGCCCTACAGGAAATGGCGAGCCCAGGGGAAAAGGAAAGACAAACAAGGGCAATGGCATGAGCGGGGAGGGGGCGTCAGAATTAGAGGGGGAGGAGAGAGGAGACTTCAGGGTTTGTGTGTGTCAGGTGGTGTTCTGTGGGGGAAGTTCTCATATTTCTACAGATAAAATCATGGCATGGAATATGCCTTCTAGTAAACACATTATAGCCAACGCAATGGATGAAGACCTCATGTTGTATTGAGTTACAGTTAATAGGGAAGTTTTGGACTTAGAGATGTAGAAGAGTTGGAGGATCACTCAGACACAATTAGACTTTGCTTAAGTTCAACCATAATTGTCCACATTTTGATCCCTTCCCCCACATGTTTGGTCCAATGTGAGATGTGAGTTGGGCTGTGGTGGCTGCCCATGTCTTGCTCCTGCAATTGTGTTGATGGGTGTCTTGCCTCAGCTTTTTGCCTTGTTTATGGTCAGTGGTCAGACCAGGCAGAGTGAATGCTGTAGCTTCTCACACATGGTTGATTCTGAGTCCTTATGAGCACAATCTGAGCTGACTGTACTATATACTTTGATCTTAAATACAAATAATTATGTAGAACAGGTTAGCCTTTGCATGAAGGACTTGCATGCAAATCACACTGATGGCAATTTATGACTCAAAAACTGCACTCAAACACACACACGTGCGCACACACACACGCACATACACACACACATGCACGCGCACACACAGACACACACAGTCATGAAGAAGAAATAAAACAGAAAAGCTACATTACTGCATTATCTCAGTGTTTGCACAGTAGTTTGAAACAGTTTAAATAGTCTTCCAATAGTAGTATTGGATGAAAATTAGGAGTTAGTATATTGTATGCTGGATAGTAGAATGAGTAAGCATTGGATAAAACAAGGAGAAGAGTATCATATTACACTGAATGTACATGCCTGGAGAGATGGAGACCGATAGACTCTCTTCTGCATTTGCCTAAACCTTACCCTCTTGTAACTTCTACAGTGTCTACATTCAGCCAGTGATTCTGCTCATATTGTTGAGTTAGTTTATTTATTTCCCATATTTTCTAATTAAACTGTATTACCTTTTGATGTATTCATATTAAAGTGACATTTGTTGTAGCTGTTTTTTAAAGCTGGTTGTGCCACATTAAAATAGCATCTTGATTGCTTAATTAAATGTGTCTATGGTCAATAGTGAAAATTAAACAAAATGTCTCTGTTTGCAGGTATGGTAAAATAGTTTCTACAAAGGCTATCCTTGATAAAACTACAAACAAATGTAAAGGTAAAAAACAAAACAAAATAATTTAAACATTTTACACACTTCTGTATTTGAACTGAAAAGTTATAAAAATAAATAAATTAATTAATTAAAAAAATAATAATTCCAACATAAAAAATTCCCACGTAAATCATCTTGTGTCATGTGTTTTGATGTGCCACTGTAGGCTATGGCTTTGTGGACTTTGACAGTGCCTGCTCTGCTCAGAAGGCAGTGACAGCTCTGAAGGCAGGCGGGGTCC